TCTCTCGGCTTTGTCTCAAACTTAGGGGATTCCGTATAGAACCCCAACAGGGTGCCCTCAACAAACAGGATCTGCACCCACTATACACATGTGCCCTCAACAAGGGAACTGCACCCCATTCTCGTCTCGTCGCGAGGTGTTGTTTGCATGGCGCAGAGCTCCCGCTACGCCTTCACCCCCTGCGGCCACAAATGCGTGTGCCACCTCTGCGCGGTGGCGGTCAGCCGCAGCGAGCGGCGGTGCCCCATTTGCCGGACGAAGGCCGGGACGCTTTGGGCGGGCCATCGGCGCAATCTTTTGAGCTTGGTCCCAAAAAATATGGGTGTGGGTCAAAAATAGGTATCCAAAATGGGTTGCCCTGGTAAACGGAAACAAGGACTAAAACCTGCTGTCCCCTGGTGCATATGTATGAAAACAAACATGTAAACATGTTTAGGTAGACATGAATGTGGGCCTGTCTGCTTTTGAGGCTCGGTAATGTTTGAAATGGAACCAAAGGAACGTTTGAAATACATTTTTGGGCTGCGTCGATTGCAGAGGGAGCAGGGAATGCGGGCAGGCTTGAAGACAGATGGCATCATTGGTCCCCCATTTCATTGCTCCAGGTGGTGCGAATCCTGAAGATCATCGATCCATGAAGATCCTTACAGCTGTTCGGACAGTACCTTTAAAGCGCGCCCTGGCTGCTGGGCCTCGTTTTATTCCCTTTGCAGATTGGGCTTTACATGCTTGTTCTCAGTGACGTACGGCTAAGAAACCATGGCAAACCATTCTTCGTTGGTATGTACAGGAGAACATCAGAAACCAGGGTTTCTTAGGTGGTGCGAATGGATTGCGTCCATCCACAGTAGAGAACCATCCCCGATCCAGCAAGAGCCCAAGTTTGCACGCACAATTGTGGCTCACTCCCGGCGGACGGATTTTGCGTACTGCTACGCCTTTGAGCATCAGCTAGCGCTTAATTCAGCCATTTGCGACATGTAGATGGCACAATTCAATGAGTCCTGCAGTTGACTGCTCGGCGCACCCTGGTGCTTGAAGCACTTTTCTTGCGGAGTCTTGCTAACAATTCAAATTGTTTGTGTTCATTCAGCCACAGTGTCCGAAACCCAGAGCCAGTCTGAACCCAAGACGTGTTCTTCAACTTAGCTTGCACTCAGCCGAGAAAGTCGACCCAGGCTGTACATGCATGCGAGAGCTTTGACGTGTCGTTGCAAGGGACTGCCCACTTGAGGGACACCCCCCCAAAATCCCCGGCCTTTGCAAGTTCTCTGCCCGAGTTCGCCCCGGGCCATTGGTCCGGTCCAACGGTCCAACGGTCCAACGGTCCAAGGGCACGACACATCTGCCCGCAGCTCTCGACCTTGCCGTTTCCTTGTGTTTTTTACTGACTCAATTTCCAGAGACGTCAGGTTCCAGATGTCAACAGCCAGGATAGGAAGCAAAGAAAGTTTCGAGACCGGAGATATGCGTAGTGGCACAAAAGAGCTTGGTGTAGCGTAATGCTTTCTCAGAACAATCCACCGCGCGCGAATGTAAGACGGTGCTTTTGCCAGGAATCCGTGGAGTCGGCGCTGAGGACGCTTCCCAAAGCCTTTCGATGCGTGTTAGAGCTTCAGGGTTCCCTGCTTTGGTTGAGCTTTGTGGCAGGTTGGCAGCGCTGAAACGATTCCGCCAGTGCGCAAACTCATTGCAGTCGCGCGAAAATGGCTCTGTTGCTTGCACTCTGAAGAGAAGCCTGGGGCTTGGGGCGGAACGGTGCCTTGGAAGCCTGGGTGATGATCGAAGCTACCGGTCAACCATTCTCAGGGGATCAGAAGGGGCATTTCTGCGACACCTGCACTTCAGCGTTGCAACATATGGTTTTTTCGGAGTCTTATCAAATATGGGAGGGGCGGTTTCAGGAGCCATGCGCCCCTCACAGCTTTCTGCCAGGCGGGCCGGCGTGGGAGCAACGAAATGCTTCAAATTGACCCCGAATTAGTAACTTCCAGTTTGTTCACAGTGGGGTGTTCCTGGTTTAGCGGGGAACACCAAGCTGTAAAGCTGTAGATCAAACTTCTAGTGCAGCATGCGGCAAGGCTAATTGGGTGCTTGGCTGCAAACCACTCAAAGGGGCTGACAGGGGGCGAGCACTTCCAGCTCCTCGCAGATGGCAGTGGGATGCCAGGACGGGCAATGAAGGTTGGCTGGGTGGTTTGGTTACCAGCGGGCGTGTCCGAGGCAGACGTTCACCAAGGTTCAGCCACTTCAACCCAAACCTTTTCTGGGTTTCAGGATGGTTTGAATTCTGAGGGTTGCCAAGAGCTTTCAGCTAGGAGCATAGCCCCAGCTCAGCTACGCCTCATTGCCTGCTCGCACATCCAGAGGCTTACTGTGTAGGGCCCAACCATTTCCCGAACTGAGTGGCCTGGGGTCGAGCTGCTTCCAGCTTTCCAGGCAAGCCTGTTCAGGGACGGATAATGTTGCTCCAGCTGACAAAGTGACGCGATGGAACCAAGCGTTGCTTGTGGCAAGCAAGCTTTGCTTGCAAAAGCCAAAGCGAATGACTATTCTGACCCTGGCTTCAGATTTGTCTTTTCGCTTCTTTGAGCCTTGCGACTTGGAGCACGTTGTGATTCCACTTGGTTTCCCTCTGAGAAAACGATCTGAAAAGGCCGCCCTCAAAAGAAGACGAGCCACCCACATCATCAAGAGGCCCTGTGGCTGTTGGTTTCCTTTCAAGGAACCAAGCTGTGGCTGCGATTGTGCCGTCCGGGTAGTGTCTCGCAGTGCTCCCAATCAGTGAAAGCAAGACACTGGATGTGTGTGTGCTTTTTTAGTAGGGTGCCCTTTGCACCTTAGAGGGAAACTCAGAGGGGCTCAATCTTTTGGGGGGCTCTATCCGACCTGGGCTCCGAGCCGCAGGACGGCGCCGTGCTACGCTTCAACTTGGGGTGTGCCCTCGGGCCTGAGCTTCATTTCGAGGAGGCCTTTCGCTTACGGTGAGTCCTCTTCACTCACAAGGGTTGTGGTTGATCACTTGTTTTTTTTGTCTTCTTTTTTTCCAAGCACTTCTGTGATACCCTCGGGAATCCCCCGTATGAAAGACATAGTCTTTGGGGTTAGGCCCTTTCTGTTGTATCACAGAAGTGGTCATTCCCACAGCCCTGCTCACAAGAAATTGCCCTGTATCGGACATTCCATGCTCGGGGATTCATCAGGAGTAGCAGGTTCCAAGCAACTTTGGAGATAGAAGTGACGCCGGCAAACAAGTTTCCTCCAAACGCGTAGCCATCCAGCACTTCGACAGGAAATGATCATTCAAAGAGGGAGCATGACAGCATGTTTGCTTGTAAGGCTGCTTAGAAGAAATTAATTGGACATTCTTGCGAGGCAAGCATCATCGAATAGGGATCTGCGACGCAGAATCTCCAATCTACCTCAGGGAACCTTCATTTTTTCAAATCGAGCTGAGCATGGTAGCCTCAAGAAACGGGAACAACACCCCACATCCGGTCGTTGGAAAAAAGGTTGGCCTTCGCTTGGGGGGGACGCCCAGCGCGTGGACCGCGCGCGCGCGTTTTTATGTGAGGCCGCCTTCTTATTTTTTGAAACATGGTTCTGGGCAGACCATTTTTGATACCGGGTTTTGATTATGACTCATGTTTTGGTTAGGAGAACCTGGGTGCCGAGCTGCCGGCCCTGGCGAAGAGCATCACCGCGGGGGGCCGAAAAAACGGCGGTGGGTGGGCTTCCCACTTTCCCACAATCGGAGGGTTCACCGTCGGAGGGTTTTGGAAGACAATTTTTATTGGAAGGAGGCTAGGCCTTTCGGGGTTGGTTTTGAAGGAACACGAAAGGGTCAAGGGGGTTTCCCATTGAATGACTTGCTAGGGCTCCCTCAGGAATTCGAAAGCACTCTCCCAGAAAACGCATCGCTCGATTCTGTAGTCGGCTACTGTTCTTGAGCGTGCATGTGTGGCTCCCCTTTGGATCATGAGGAAGAGTCGGGGGGGGGAGCGTCATACATCCATTGGAGTGCCCCCCGGATGCGAGAACGCCGTCGACACTTTTTGGTTTGTGTCAAGTCAAGAAGCATAGCACCCACCTTGGATGCTGCACCAAGTGACCCAACAATGAAAACCGGGTAGATGAAGGTTAGTAAGGGGCAGTCCCAGCCCCAAATAGCTGCGGATATCCGCCTTTTCAATTCCTGAAGCATGGGTCTGGGAATTCGACCATTTCTGTACTGATCGGTTTTGATTATCAAGTGACCCCACCACAAGATCAAGTCAAGAAGCATAGCACCCACCTTGGATGCTGCACCAAGTGACCCAACAATGAAAACCGGGTAGATGAAGGTTAGTAAGGGGCAGTCCCAGCCCCAAATAGCTGCGGATATCCGCCTTTTCAATTCCGGAAGCATGGGTCTGGGATTCGACCATTTCTGTACTGATCGGTTTTGATTATCAAGTGACCCCACCACAAGATCAAGTCAAGAAGCATAGCACCCACCTTGGATGCTGCACCAAGTGACCCAACAATGAAAATCCGGTAGATGAAGGTTAGTAAGGGGCAGTCCCAGCCCAAAGAGCTGCAGATATCCGCCTTTTCAATTCCTGAAGCATGGGTCAATTCGACCATTTCTGTACTCACCGGTTTTGATTATCAAGTGACCCCACCACAAGATCAAGTCAAGAAGCATAGCACCCACCTTGGATGCTGCACCAAGTGACCCAACAATGAAAACCGGGTAGATGAAGGTTAGTAAGGGGCAGTCCCAGCCCCAAATAGCTGCGGATATCCGCCGCCTTTTCAATTCCTGAAGCATGGGTCTGGAATTCGACCATTTCTGTACTGATCGGTTTTGATTATCAAGTGACCCCACCACAAGATCAAGTCAAGACTCATAGCGCCCACCTTGGATGCTGCACCAAGTGACCCAACAATGAAAACCGGGTAGATGAAGGTTAGTAAGGGGCAGTCCCAGCCCCAAATAGCTGCGGATATCCGCCTCTTCAATTCCGGAAGCATGGGTCTGGAATTCGACCATTTCTGTACTGATCGGTTTTGATTATCAAGTGACCCCACCACAAGATCAAGTCAAGAAGCATAGCACCCACCTTGGATGCTGCACCAAGTGACCCAACAAAGAAAACCGGTAGATGCCAGCCCCAAATAGCTGCGGATATCCGCCTTTTCAATTCCTGAAGCATGGGTCTGGAATTCGACCATTTCTGTACCGATCGGTTTTGATTATCAAGTGACCCCACCACAAGATCAAGTCAAGAAGCATAGCACCCACCTTGGATGCTGCACCAAGTGACCCAACAATGAAAACCGGGTAGATGAAGGTTAGTAAGGGGCAGTCCCAGCCCCAAATAGCTGCAGATTTCCTCCTTTTCAATTCCCGAAGCATGTGTCTGCGAATTCGACCATTTCTGTACCGATCGGTTTTGATTATCAAGTGACCCCACCACAAGATCAAGTCAAGAAGCATAGCACCCACCTTGGATGCTGCACCAAGTGACCCAACAATGAAAATCCGGTAGATGAAGGTTAGTAAGGGGCAGTCCCAGCCCCAAATAGCTGCGGATATGCGCCTTTTCAATTCCTGAAGCATGGGTCTGGAATTCGACCATGTCTGTACTGATCGGTTTTGATTATCAAGTGACCCCACCACAAGATCAAGTCAAGAAGCATAGCACCCACCTTGGATGCTGCACCAAGTGACCCAACAATGAAAACCGGGTAGATGAAGGTTAGTAAGGGGCAGTCCCAGCCCCAAATAGCTGCGGATATCCTCCTTTTCAATTCCTGAAGCATGGGTCTGGAATTCGACCATTTCTGTACTGATCGGTTTTGATTATCAAGTGACCCCACCACAAGATCAAGTCAAGAAGCTGCGGATAGCACAATTCCAAGCCTTGGATCGGTTTTGATTATCAAGTGACCCCACCACAAGATCAAGTCAAGAAGCATAGCACCCACCTTGGATGCTGCACCAAGTGACCCAACAATGAAAATCGGGTAGATGAAGGTTAGTAAGGGGCAGTCCCAGCCCCAAATAGCTGCGGATATGCGCCTTTTCAATTCCTGAAGCATGGGTCTGGAATTCGACCATTTCTGTACAGATCGGTTTTGATTATCAAGTGACCCCACCACAAGATCAAGTCAAGAAGCATAGCACCCACCTTGGATGCTGCACCAAGTGACCCAACAATGAAAATCCGGTAGATGAAGGTTAGTAAGGGGCAGTCCCAGCCCCAAATAGCTGCGGATATCCGCCTTTTCAATTCCGGAAGCATGGGTCTGGAATTCGACCATTTCTGTACTGATCGGTTTTGATTTTCAAGTGACCCCATCACAAGTTCAAGTCAAGAAGCATAGCGCCCACCTTGGATGCTGCACCAAGTGACCCAACAATGAAAACCGGGTAGATGAAGGTTAGTAAGGGGCAGTCCCAGCCCCAAATAGCTGCGGATATCCGCCTTTTCAATTCCTGAAGCATGGGTCTGGGAATTCAACCATTTCTGTACCGATCGGTTTTGATTATCAACTGACCCCACCACAAGATCAAGTCAAGAAGCATAGCACCCACCTTGGATGCTGCACCAAGTGACCCAACAATGAAAACCGGGTAGATGAAGGTTAGTAAGGGGCAGTCCCAGCCCCAAATAGCTGCGGATATCCGCCTTTTCAATTCCTGAAGCATGGGTCTAGAATTCGACCATTTCTGCACTGATCGGTTTTGATTATCAAGTGACCCCACCACAAGATCAAGTCAAGAAGCATAGCACCCACCTTGGATGTTCCTGAAGCATGGGTCTGGGAATTCGACCATTTCTGTACCGATCGGTTTTGATTATCAAGTGACCCCACCACAAGATCAAGTAAAGAAGCAAAGCACCCACCTTGGATGCTGCACCAAGTGACCCAACAATGAAATCCGGGTAGATGAAGGTTAGTAAGGGGCAGTCCCAGCCCCAAATAGCTGCGGATATCCGCCTTTTCAATTCCCGAAGCATGTGTCTGCGAATTCGACCATTTCTGTACCGATCGGTTTTGATTATCAAGTGACCCCACCACAAGATCAAGTCAAGAAGCATAGCACCCACCTTGGATGCTGCACCAAGTGACCCAACAATGAAAATCCGGTAGATGAAGGTTAGTAAGGGGCAGTCCCAGCCCCAAATAGCTGCGGATACCCGCCTTTTCAATTCCTGAAGCATGGGTCAATTCGACCATTTCTGTACTGATCGGTTTTGATTATCAAGTGACCCCACCACAAGATCAAGTCAAGAAGCATAGCACCCACCTTGGATGCTGCACCAAGTGACCCAACAATGAAAATCCGGTAGATGAAGGTTAGTAAGGGGCAGTCCCAGCCCCAAATAGCTGCGGATATCCGCCTTTTGAATTCCTGAAGCATGGGTCTGGGAATTCAACCATTTCTGTACCGATGGTTAGTAAGGGGCAGTCGCAGCCCCAAATAGCTGCGGATATCCGCCTTTTCAATTCCTGAAGCATGGGTCTGGGAATTCGACCATTTCTGTACCGATCGGTTTTGATTATCAAGTGACCCCACCACAAGATCAAGTCAAGAAGCATAGCACCCACCTTGCTACACCAACTGACCCCACCAGAGCCTCATCCAAATCAGCCCGAGGCGCTTCATATGTATCGGGGCCAGCTCTTTGCGGGCACCTGCGGCCGTTGCTGCTGGGGGCCAAAGAAGCGCAGTCCAGGGTTTTTTTGCAGCGCAATTTCCCAGATCTTTGCAGTTTTTTTTTGCAGGTCGATTTTTGCAAGTCGATTTTAGATTTCCAGTTTTTTGCAGGTCGATTTGAAGTCTGTGCAGTGCCAGGTTTGATGCTGCGAGGGAGAAATGTACCATGTGATATAAATGCTTTATACTTTCTCCAATTGATCCTCGCAAGCGACCGTGAGCGTGATTTTGGGCTGGTCGGGGAAAGGTCCACCCACAAAAGAGAAGTGCATTGGAATGATGTTCCTCACAAGTTTATCGTCGTTTCTTGCGCCCATTTTGCAAACTTTTCACGTGGCATGTTTGTAAACGCCGGTGTCAGCTTGCTTTTGTCCTCTCCTTGCGAAGGCGATCTGATCTTGGATGTATTGGTAGCGAACCCGAGGAAGTGTCCTCTACTCGAATGTGGGCAGACTTAATCCACGAGTCTACCATAAAATCTAACTGCTGTTTAGTCCACCTTGCAAATTCTGACGTGCGGGCATATCCAAACATGAGCCTTTCCGACCTCGTCTCGCATGTGGTGCGTGCGTGTGTGTGTGTGTGTGTCTTTTTGTGGCGAGGGGTACCCCTTTTCGAGTGTTTTTGTTGATTTCAAATCAAAAGGACACCACCTGTTTGGAGGGTTCCGTTTTGAGAGCAGCTCATGTGGGGGTGTCATTCCTTGAGGCCACCGTTTTTTTCTTCTTTTGTTTTTTCCCCCAGTTTTTTTTTGGTTTCTTCTTTTTTTTGTTTCTCTTTTTTTCTTTCTTCATTTTGTTGTTTTGTGGTTTTCAAGGGAAACAACCAAAAGAAGCACCCGAAATTTTGGACAAACACCAAAGGAGATCCCCTTCACACCAAGCGCGCGCCCAGTTTGGCACCTGGACGGCGAGCAGCGGGAATTCCACCTGCCCAGCAGGGGGCACCTGGATGCCTGAGCTGGGCTTACGGCACGGGGCAAACGAGGGATGGTCCTCGTAGGTTTCCTTTAAAAGGGCTACCCTCGAAAAGCGGCCAAGAGTTTTCAAGCGGTTCTTCTTTTTTTGAAAGGGGTACCCACCAAAAAAGCCGAGGATCTACAAGCAGGAAGGTTTCTTTCCATCGATCCCACCCCAACTTCCGACAATTGCGCGCCTTCAGGTCACCAGCACCATCAACCTATCAACATCATCTCATCATCTCATTATCTGAGCATCATCGGAAGGTAGTGTTCCTTGGTTCTTTCAGGCTTGACCATGAGTCAAAGCCGTCGCTTTCAGTTCGATGAATTCGATCGGTTGAGTTCAATCCAAGGAAGACGGTGTGGGTGCTGGCAAACAGCACTGCGCAAGAGATGCGGATTGGTGCGGACACATCGTTTGGGAGGGGATCGCTCTTAAGCATTCCGGTTGTCAGCTTACTGGGCACCCGAAACATGACAAACAGACTCCTTCACCGAGGGACTCCGGAGGGTGAGCCACCCACGGCCACGTCGCTGGTTGCTGTGCCGAAGGACTGCTCCATGGTTGGAGAGTTGTCTCTTGTTTCAACCAGCGAGAGGGAACTTCCAGTTTGGTTCTCAGTTCTCAAACTGTCGCAGCTGGCTTGTAGAAGCAACAACTACAATTTGGCACAGGTGCAAACCATGTTTTTTGGGTTGATTTTTTGTGAGAGATATGGTGGTTCCAGCTGTCCCAGAAGCTTGGGTTGGAGCATTATCCGTCCAAGAATCTGACACATATTTTTTTGGGCCAAATTGCTCGTTGAGCTCGGAACACTGCTTACCGTGATGTAGAATGCACATCTTGAAGGTAGCGCCTGCACGCTGAATGTGCTTATCCGGAACAGCTTAACCACCTCTCTTCTGGACAAAATCAGACAGAAAAGTTCAGCTTCCCTTCAGTTGGTAGTTGGAGGCAGGGGGTGGTTGGCCATCCAGGGGTTCCAATCCCAAACCACCAACTAAGGTGTACCTGTATGGTGTATGCTTTGACCAGACCTGGGACCGACAGGAAGCTGGCTTGCAGCTTTGGGTCGGAATGGACACTGGCAGCCTAGCCGTCTTCGAGGTTGAGACAGGTGCGGCTGCTTCACCACGTGTGTGACATGGAACTTGGGATTATTATCCATTGGCTGTAGTATTTCGAGTGGGTTCAAACGAGGGGAGTCCCATGTTCGAGAAGGGTACAGACACCTCTAGATTCAGGGCTCGAGGCTCGAGGCTCGGAATCTTAAAGGCCCTTGGAGAAATAGGGCTGGAGCCTTGAGAAGCAGTGCCCAGTTAAGCACCTTGAGTCTTGAGGAGGGCCTTGATTCCTTGAGATTTGGTTTGGATGCCTCCCGCAACAAAAATGGTGCGGTTTGATGGTTTTCTTGCTCGTTTCTTGGATGGGATGGTGGGAAGCCGGGTATGCCAGTTCCTCTTAAATGCATCTGATCACAGAGGTGAATCAAACCTGGAACCGAGCAGGTATGCTTGTGCGGACCTTCAGCTGTGGTGGCCCCGAGGCGAGGGTTTGCAGTTGGGGCAATTCGCTGGAGTCTCAGATGCTTGTGATTTTTTTTAGGGAACCGCCTCGAAAGTCGTTGAAAGACGTTCCCACTTGGCTGGTGTCCACCAGGTCCCTTATGAAAAGTCACACCTAGATGTTTTCGTTTGTACAAGCTCACAAGCCGATGGGCGGCTTCCAAATGCTGTTCCACGGTCTGGAGTGTCAGCGCATAGGTCTCCAGCATATGGTTCTTTTGCAAGCCTAAGCCTCGCACACTACGACTTGCAGTATTATCGTCGACGACGACAACAGCAGCAGCAACAACCGTGCCAGCGTCTTTTTGAGGGTGCCTCGCTTTAGCTTGTTTTAAGGGGAACATAGAGGATTGAGCAACTCTCCCCACGTCACACACACACACGCGCTCGCGATACGGATAGGGAGCTCCGTGCCTACCAGTGAAAAGAGGACACCTCAACGGGATGAACAAGCACGATGCAGTGGGAAGGACCACGACGTCGAAAGATCTCCATATTGCACAAATAGACAGCCAATATTGTTGAAGACGACAACAACAACAGCAGGAACAACCGTGCCAGCGTCTCTTTGAGGGTACCTCGTTTCAGCTTTTGTTTTAAGGGGAGCCACGAGGATTGAGAATGAATCTCCCTATGTCACACATCAAGTTTCAGCCTGTCCTGAGCCTCCAGATTGTGGTGGCCCTGGCCTTCTCGGAGAAGACCTCGGTGGTCTTTGCGCTCTCCGCTCACAAGTGCGCCCCGGGAGGGGATCCCGGGATCTCGGATCCATTTCTCCGCGCGTTTTTCGTGTTTTGCCGCGCCTCTGGCGGTCGGTGTTTTGAAGTCAACACGGGGAGGCACAGCCTGTGCCGTTGATCTGAGTGAGTCCAAGTTTGAGAGCCCGGAAGTGATCAACCTGTGTGAGGTGGATCGGAATCGCTGGGCAATGCCTCAGAGTGAAAATCCATTCTCCGCACCGGGGTTCGTGGCAGGCGAGTCGGTATTTGGGACACCGACTCCTATGCCTGCCTGCAGAAATACCCAGCGGAGTTGATGACGCCAGGTCCTAAGCCGTGTCCCGGTGTGGCTTACCCAATCAGAAGCTTTGCACCTTCCCTTTTGTCCCTAGTGGTCGGGCTTCCCAACATTTGCTTTGGTGTCGCGCATCGGTTTCTCGCAAAAGAGCCGACCACAAGGGCTTCTTTTTCGGGCCCATCCGAGGTGCCCATCCGATGGATCGATCGAACGCGAGGTGTGGCGCCGATCTGAGCGCCATGGGGGCCTTCGATGTGGTGTCGCTGGGCATGTCGCTACTGGTGCTGGCGGCTGGGGGCCCAAAACCTGCGCCGTGCAAAGTTCTGACATCAGTTGGAACCGTTCTGGAGCTATTGGAGTCTTTTGCTTAGGGAGCCTTTGGAGCTAGGAGTTGGACGTAGGTGTGCACCAGAAATGAAGTGTGAAGTGGGTCCCGGACCGTTTTGGTGGGCCAACCACTTTTTGAGGTTCCCCAATTGAAATTGATAGACAGATGGGCTTGGGTCCTTTTGGACTTGGTACTTTCCAGGTTGGTTTAAATGGACACCGAAAGGAGAACCGGAATGTTGGGGTTTGTAGGGTTGGCTTGTTTCATGAAGTAGCAGAACTCATGGCTCTTGTTGGCAGCGATACCACATGTTGGCGCCAACAGGGCTGCTGTCAAGTTCATGGTTTGGAGGCTATTTTCTGTTGGCCGTAAGGATCAACGAGCTAGGCTCCTTAAAAGATGCATTTTGCAACCATTTGAACCATGTTGCTTTTTCAACACCAAAATGGTTGAAACCCACATTTACAATTACAAGTGGCAATGTTCGATCGGTGTTTCTCATGCATCCGGATCCCTGTTTTGTTGGTGGCTTTTTACAATGAGTGTGGAGACGTCTCTGAGCATCAGGGCGTGGATGGATCGCTCTGCTTGCGCCGCATCACGCGGCGCGAAGACCGGCGCGGAGCCCGAGGAGCCCGAGGAGTCGAGGCGCCGAGTCGAGGTGCCTCGCGTGGCTGTGGCGCGAGGGTCGCGTTTCCCTTTTTGTAAGAGGGGGCAAAAGTCCAGGTCCATAGGTGTCCTTAGCTTACTTTTATTAGAAATAGATGGGTTCCACTGCTTTAGATGGGTTTGATTCCATTTACCAGGGAGACCCATCGATTTTTGCGTAAAAGGTCACCAGGCGTCCAGGTCCTGTTTCATCAGGGGCGCAAAAGTCTCTGATCGCTTTGAAAAATGCGCCGAGGAAGCTGAACTGCATCCTGCTGTGGTACCTCGGAGATGGCGGAATGGCGGCCTCCTTAGGAAGCCGCGAGTCTCGAAAGCGAGGCATCCCATTTTGGGGCCTCCAATTGGCGGACCTCCTTGTAGTTGGTATTCAAAGGTGAACCAACAGGATTCCACCCATTTGAGGGGACCTATACTTTTTTGGGAGACCGTTGTGGGTTCTGGGGCATCCTGAGATATAGTCTCACTGCACGCTGCTAGTTGAACTTGGCAGACGGGCACGCCTCCACTGCTCCACTTGCAATCGGTCGCCACCAGCAGCCGTTGCCATTCCTGATGACGGGCACACACAGCAGCTACGTAGCCCGTTCCACGAGCATCATTCACACATTCGCCGTGAGCGGGGCTTTGCGCGACGAGTTTGTTCCTTACTCAGACCAGTTTTTCTCGCCAAGAGAACGCGCTTTTTGAGCAACGTTTATTCATTCATGAGATAGGAGCTCCCTTTGCCTTTGTAGATATCGGCCGGTGTTCACGGCGGCGTTCACTGAGGAATGCCCCATCACTTCTGTCAACTTTCATTATGAGACAGAGACGGTGCTTTTGGGTGATGCTGCATCTCGGCTGAGAGAGTGAGTCGTTGAGTGGCCGGACATCACACAGACACATTTTCCTCCAGCCCTCTACCTTGTTTGCCAATTATGCAACATGGGACAACATGCGAAGTGCCTCGTAGCTTTCTGTCATATTCTCTATTGGGCAAACTTTAATTTCTAGAGCTGCGAGTGATGGGCAATATTATTTTACTGATAACTCTCATAGCCTTAAGGAGCCTTGGTCGTCCCCACAAGAACTTGAACTATCCTTCCCAATTCACACGAGTTTGTCTCAACATTGGGTGACTCTCTCAGTTTTTTTTCTTTCTTTTTTTTTATTCTTTTTCCGGGTTTCCGCTTTAAACCATTCAAAAGGGGGCTCCCGAAAAAAGATAGACATGAGCTAGTTTTACATGTGGCAAGTGTCCCCCTTCTGAGTCTTAGGGTTGGGCCGCTTCCAACACTATCGAAGTCAACAAGGGATTGAGCTTGAGCTGTCAGAGACTCTTTTCTGAGTGCGTGAAGGCGAATAGCGGTTGTCACTGTGCAGTCAGGCTGGCAGTTGATGTTTGGACATTGCTGCCATCAAAGCTCAGCGGGTGTTCCATCCATTCGAGGGCTGCCGCGTGCAGCTGCAGAACATCAAGGAGCATGTGAGTACATCGCAGGAGCGGGGCGCATGCGCGCGTGGCATGTTTGAGCTACCTGCAGAGTTGCAACGCTAGATTCCTATTGGAGATGGTAAACTGTAGGAGAGAGTTTAGCAGGCGTGTCAACTGTTATTTTCTTGTTGTTGGCAGCTTGTTTTGCGACCAGGACAAGGTTTGGGGCGTTAGCAAGCAAGCTGACGGCTTTAGCCTGGCTGTCTTGTTGAGAGCCCGGACATCCGCTGCAAAGGGGGCACCATAGAAAGTATGTCTCTTCATTTTCATTTGCCAAGGACAGCATAAGGGATCAAGGTTTCAACAGTGGCAGGTATTGATGTTGAGACCCTCAATCGCGGAAGCAAAGGTCTTCTGCCAGCAAAGTCAGTTGTGGGGGGTGGTTCCAGAAATATGGCCATGGGTCAAAACCCAAATCGCAACCCCAGTGAACATCCCAATCCGCACTAACATAGACTACAATGGGTGGTGCTCCTACCCCAAAATGGTACCATTGATTTTGACCCACAGCCATATCGTCCGGAAATTGTCCGATCGACACTGCAAGCCACCGGATGCAAAGGAGCCAACGAACCATTTGCCTCGCTGGAAATGCAACACTAGCCAACGGTGTTCCTACCAAGAATACAAATGGCCAAATGGGTGTATTTTTATTTAATAGGGGACCCTTCGGAGCTTAAATGGTGGGGATTCATGTCCACCAGCCCCTTGTGAGGTGATTAAGGATCACAGTTTCAAATACACGGTGCTTCGGCTCACTTGCCGGGAATATCTAGGGTCCCCTGGGCACGAACAATTTGATGCATTGCCTACAAGCACCGGCAGGAATGGGAAGTGCAGTCAGAACGGCACTCCGGTCAGGAGATGCTTCCTGTGCGCAAAGCTGCCAGTCAGGCTGGAGCCGAAATACACAGCGTCAACATTTACGACATGTACCAGATGAAGGAGCTTTTTGCAGTTTTTACTTGATAAGGGTCGCCTCTTCTTCAGCAACATGCGGATGCTGGAGCCTATTCAGCTTTCTCCATTGTTTGTTTGGTTGCACGCCACTGCTTGAATGGGCGCATTCATTTTTTCTGGTCATTCTCCTTCCTGGCACAGTGAAAGAACCGATTCCAAGCTAAAACGCGGACAAGTTATCATGCACCGAGAAAGCTGCTGTGCACGAAGTATTCGCAGTTCATATTCGCTTTTTTGGTGTTGTGTTCAGAGGAGAACTGGTGGCTGATTAGTTTCTATGGCAGTGCGAGGTTCCAGAGCCCGCCGGTGCCGCGGCCGGAGCGATGCCAGGCTAATGGGGCGGCCTTGGCGTGGTTCTGTTGGGGATACTCTGGCCTTTTTTCCAGGCTGATTTGGCCTGGAGCATTTTGAAGGGAAAAGCAACAAGCGCAAAACATGTTTTTTCGTCGCGCTGTTTTAAGGGCACGCCCACAAGGGTTCCGTGTTGCTTTTCTTGCTTTCTGACACATGCCACGTAAACGCTGCCAATGGGTCTGAACTCCACCACCTGGTGTAAAAGAGGGTTTCACTAACAGATAGATTTAGGCAATTTGGCGTTTTGTTTCTGCCAAGGACATGTCAGACCGATGCGTCGTATGTCTGATTTTTCGCCATGCTGCCACATGGTATCAACATTTAAACCATTCTCCTTCTCCTTCTCTTTCTCTCTCTCTCTCTCTCTCTCTCTCGCTACAACATGTCAAACGTGTTTTCTAAGCTATGACTCCGCGACGATTGGCTCTACATGGTCGCTCCACCATCTTGTGGGAATTTTCCCTGCCAATTGCTTCAAGATCGCCAGGTCAAGCGTGACAACCCCCCCCCCTTCCCCAATCACGAAGAGAGTGTCTTGAAACCCCGGCAAGCTGCAACCCCTGGAGTCCAAAGCGCCCCCGTTGTGGAAATTTCGGATTTGGATTTGGATTTGAAGGAAACCCCGGACCTCCCGACCAGTCAGGGCTGGATCGTTTTTTGGGAACTCCTTGGTTTTTTTGTAGAGACCAGAAGGACTTCAATCCGAACTTTGGTGCATTTTGCCAAGGGATGTTAGGACTTTAACTTGTTGCCCACTCACGGGTTTTCCGCATTCAACCACTAAAAGTTAAACTTTCAGCAGGGGAGCAGAAAGCTACTGAGATAATCCTTCCTAGATGTTGGTTCCCTTTCCGCATTCAACCACTAAAAGTAAAAAAAAAGAAAACAAAAACAACTTTCAGCAGGGCTTCGCAGATTTCGCCGCCGAGCAAAGCCATCGGGACGCCGACAAGCGAAGAGAGGGTGGCTGGCCAGGCGCCACTGAGCCGCCCTTGCCGCCGCCGCCGCAACCGCCTTCGCCCAGTCAGGCTTGGGCATGGGCAGGGGTCTCCGTTCGTGGGTCAAAACTAAGCCACATCTACCTAAACATATTTATATATATATATATGTATATATAATACATATGGGTATGGGTCAAAATTAAAGCATGGACCGCAGGTTTTAGTCCATGTTTCCATTTATCAGGGCAAGCCATTTTGGGTAATTTTTGACGTTTGCTGGTGTTGGTACCTGGTTGAAAGGGAAAGCAACAGAAGAAAAAGAAAGGCGTCGTGTTTAGAGTCCCGTATTTTGACACCTGCATGAAAGAACCGGTGTTGACGAGCCAGCACCCAGAAGAAGTTTGGCTCGCAGACAGAATGATTCCCCAAGCCGCAAAAGCTCGAGCCATGTACAAAGCAACAATGATGTTTGGCAACTTTTTCAAGCCCATTCAACCAACGAGGCATAGGTATATTCACAAATGGATGTCCCGGACATGTTTTATTGGCACAATCTTAAGCTAGCTAATTGTTCAACCTGCATGAGCAAGTTGCTGCGCTGACATCCTGACAAATCGATTCGGCCTTGGACAAGAAACACATGTTGCCACTCATTTAGAATCCCTCAAATAACCTTGGTCCTAGGCTCCCCCACCCGGACCGGTCTTTGCATTCTGGCTGGGTCCTGTTCCTCTTGGGGACCGTCTGCCGATCGTGTAATCTGACCTCCCGCGTGCTCGCATCTGCGGCTAGATTTCGTTCACCTGCTTACTTTCAAGTCAGCCTGCTCGTTGAGACATGCCAGACGACTCAAGGGGCACCGCTTCCTCAGGATCATGATTTGGAGAGTAGCGGTGCATGGTATTGAATACATCCTATGCCTATGCATTGTGCTCCCCGTTTACTGCGATTTGAGCACCCACACTTCGATTGGGCCCATCCTGTTCGGCACAGATCAGCCCCGCCGCCGGGGAGCCGCGGCGCGACGCGGAGCTGAGCCCGGGCGCGGAGCCGGGCGCGGCGGAGGGCGCGGCTGAGGGCGCGAACGCGGCGTTCCCGGTCTTCGCGGGACAGAGCGACTGAGAGGTCCCAACCCGGAGACAGGGGCTTGAGACACGGGCTTGCGAGATGCGTGGCGCGATGTTCTGTTTTTTTTAGTTTTGTTTTTTGCATGGTCAGAGGTCTTCAGGCCCGCAGCGTCCCAAGCTCATTTGCTTTCCGCTCGGGGTGTTACCCGAGCCGACGTCGCATATCGCGCCAAGTGGTTCGTAGCCGGAAGGATCCCGCTTCAGCTGATGCCCTTTGTTGCATTTTGACGACTCAACTTAGTTGGCGATGTCCAGCTGACGACCTGCTCCAGAAATGCCTTCGATCAACAAGAAATAGGTGTACCAGTTGCCTGCCCTGATTGCATCAAGATATGGGTGTTTCTTCCAGTGTGGGAACCCCAAAATGGCTTCTTTACCGCTGGTTTCCCTGAAAACCCACCCAACAAATCATCCTTATATGGAAGGAATCTGGGCAAGTCTGATTGTGGAAACAAACAAGGGCCAGGGACAGCGTGTCACAAATACTGGCACACAAAACCAATTCAATGGCTTCAAGCAACGGCCAGATCCAAATGTCGTTTGGCTGGCCTTTCGGCTGGCCTCTTTGGCTTGACGATTTGGGGTTTTTGTTGACGCGCGTCGCTGCGATGTCGCCAGCCGCAGCCATCGACACAGTACTCCACAATCCAATGCTGGTCAAGAGATCGCCACGGGTTCCAGGATGCTGACATGTTTTGGCCCCATCGAAGTCTGACACGTTTAGCTGACTTGAGCAACGGCTTTCATTTACGCACTTGCTGACACCATTCCGGAGGACACCATGCCACCGTCGTTTCTTCTGCGTATCACTGACTCACTTGAATCATCCATCCCAACGTCACACAAAACCATACGCACCTTTCTTGGGAGGGCTCGTCACCTGCCGCTTTTTTCTTTTTCCCATCTTGCGCCATGGAGCCTCGGGGCCGCCTAGAGGAGTTGCGAGTTTTGCTACTCGGGGGTTGATCAAAAGGTCCGTGATACATGGAATCACCATGGGGGCAACCACTGAAAAGATGGATATTTCTCACACGAAAGCAATTACCCATGAATATTTTGGGGCCGGGAAGATTGATTTCCCCCAGCTTTTCCATGAGATGATGCTTTCAGTTGACGCCTCGGATTCCAAGATGGGAGGAGCGATGTGATAACATCATGCATTTCTTCTTTGGCCTTCCGCCGTTTGCCACAATTTTGGATTTGGCAAACAAAAAGCGGAGGTTTTGCGGCCTCGATTCGCAGGAGGTTGTGTTTGAGACCCCTGACCCTCCGCAGAGGGTGGTCCAGGGCTCAGCCATGGAGCACTTGAAACTCTTGGTTGGAGATCAAGGCCTACGAGTCGTTGCTGGATTTAGTGGTTGGAATCAGAGCACTGTTGGAGGGGCCCTCACCCCCCTATTATTACACTGGGGTTGATTCATCCGGGGTCAGCATTAGGTAGATCCTGGTCGTAATGGAGAAGCACTCCGTTCTTGCTGGGGACGCTTATGTGCCATCATCTTTGGTCACTGCCACGCCCTCTGAAGAGGAACACACCATCCGGCGCACTGCGAGCCCGCGGGTTTCGGTCTGAAGCACGGATCTGCTGAAAGGGACGAACGCCACGTGCCAGGCCAACCTTTGAAGCCTGCTCCAAATTTGCCATCACCGCTCGGTCGTTGGACCAACGGTTAAGATGTCGTTTTTCTTCTTCTTGTTTTCTTTGTTTTCTTCTTTTTTTCCTGCCGCCTCAAAAAATGGCCCGATCCACACTCACCAAATTTCGATTGCCTGAGGCTCCGCAGCCTCCAGTCAAGGCGGAGCCAGTCTTTTGAGAAGGGCGGAAGTGGGGGGTTCGTCGTGAGTTTGGATGATTCAGTAGCTTCTCTCATTTGCCATACTTGTACTTGCAGTGGCATTCGCAGGATTTCATCTACGTGAGTATCGTTTTTCTTGAGTGACAGGAAGGCTCTCCTCACAGATGCTTCAACCAGCTTCCTCTACCCCGATGCGGGCTGTACCAGTCCCCAGATGGTGAATTTCTGCACTACACGAGAGGTTTGTCTTAGGGACAAAAGTGACACTCTCCTAAGGTTGATTATTACGCCCATCTTGCAAATGGCTGTCCATTGAAAGACACACACACACAATACAAGACCAGGTAGAACAATCATTGGCTGTTGGCACTTCACATTCATCCTTTACAATATGTAAGCCTGCCCCGGCACGAACTATGCCGACTCTTTTCATGCACGAGATGGGTTTGGCGTTTGGCCGGCTTGAAGTCTGGTCAGCGCGCATCTATCGAGATGCACTTGCAAGCAATCCTTTTATATGCCGGGTCCGTCACAGGACTTCAACATCAACCTCTTCGTGAACCATGATGTATATCACCCGTAGTTGTGGCTGTTGGAATCGCTTGCCCTGACCATACAATTCCCAAAAGTAGCGCAACTTGGGCAGAACTCTTGTGGTTCACGACCTCTCACTTCTTTTGCGCGTTTTGGCAGGTCGATGGTTTGACCTCCGTGTGACTGATATAGCAAATCCATCCCCTAAATCGGTGTCGCCGAGCAGAGGGCGGCGGCGTCCGCCAAAGGCGGGTCGTGGTCGTGCAGTCTGACTATGAGTTTCACTTGCTTCGCATTGACCGACCAGTTTGCCCAGCAAAGACTTAGAGCCTCTGGCTCCAGCAGGTAACTGACTTGGCTCCAACTCAGACTTCAGCAGCTTCCGGTCGGCCCTAAGACTCCCAGCCTCACCCCTGGGATGACTTGGGTCACCCCGAGCGGGTTTTTCCCACTCGCCGCGTCGTGTCGCTGCGTTCTCTGAAGCCTTGGGGCCAGGCTCATGGCGAGGCGGGCGAAAAAATCTTTGGGAGGGAGGTGGACCGTAGGCCCCCGGAAAACTTTTTTTTTTTTTCCCTCTCCTTTTTTTCTTTTTGGCCGGAGGGCTTCAGGTGTACCTCAGCCTTTTTTTTGGGCTTGGACTATGCAAGAGTCGACGTTGCACGGGTTTTCTGCTCGGATGGATCACTCTTCAGGGCGATCCAACATGTTGTGGTTTGAATTGTGCCTGCCACTTGCTGCGGGTTAGTTCTGTGTGATAGTCCATGCGGGCTTCAGAAGATCGTCATCATTTGCTGTGCAGAATCTGCTCTTGGCACTGCTTGACTAGAGCTTTGCCAGGGCTTGGACACATCTTGCACGCCAATGCAAGCGGCCTTGGAGACGTTTGCAAAGAAGGAGGCGTGGCTTTTACGAGACTATCAAGTGGGATGAAGCTGATGGGCGACCGATGCCAGAGCAAAGTTGGATATCGGTTCTACCCTGCCACCCAGAATCACGAGACCACAAAGTCAGATTCTAGAGGAAGATAAGGGTCTCTCAGGCCGGGTTCCATTTTTTGAGTACAAGGTAGACTTAAACCCAGGGCCCTTTTTGGCAACATTTGCATATATCTTCTTTCTTTTTTACCCTGCCAACTATGGACCTCTTTTCGTGAGGCTTTCCGTTGAGAAATATGCGGGTTTGTCTTTTTCATAGGAATCGGGGCCTACGATGGCGATCCGGTTTTCCGTTTGGTTTCGCAAGAAGACCATCCAACACGTACCCTCCCACCAATTCACATGGCACCCGACAGCGGTGGTCCTGGTTTGGACCATTTTCCTTTAAACGTGACCCTTTGTCGCGTTCCATCATGTTTCATGGGGGCTGGCGGGGAGGGAGGGGCGGGAGGGGAGGGGGAGGGAGCCCAACAAAGCCCTCATTAAGCCCAATAAGGCCTTATTTGGGGCTTATTTGGATTTCCCTCCCCCCCTCCCTGCCCCCCAGCCCCCATGAATGTTGGGTCTTGGCACTTAAAAGATGAGCACGAGCCACTCATGCGCTCATGCGCATGGCAGCCGTTGGCCCCAGCCGGTGTCTCAGATGGCGTCTTCCAAGGCGCGGCGAGAAACTCGGGCGGTTCGCTCGGTTCGCTCGGTTGGATTGGTCCAGGGGGGTTGGTTGGATTGTTTTTTGATTTTCCAATGTTCGCAGGAAACTAACAAGGGCTTTTCACATTTTCGCCTTTCAGCTGGAGACCTGACAAAGCCCAGATTATGAAAGGGGGTTGTAGTATTGATAGGTAGCGGTGCTGAGTGATGGACATGGAACAAAATCCAGGGCTCCGAGTTGGATCCAGACACAGATGACAGCACACAGACATAGACATCGGACTGGCTGAGAGAGGGAGAGAGACAGCGAGAGAAACAAACAGAGGCACACACACAGAGGCAGTGGCAGTAAGGACAGCAATGACAGCAAAGGCAGCAGGCAGAGAGGTAGGCATGGGTACAGAAATGCAAAGTCGGCAGATGAGAACAATCATATCAAGGATGGCTGACACAAAAGCACACACCCATGCATGGCCCACACTTACACATGCCTGAGCGCACGCATTCATGCGCACGTATACATTTACCTACCTGCATACCTCTATCCATGTTTGAACAAACATCTTCATCCGTGCTTCTTGTTTGTGGATACACGCGTACGTACCTATGTGCACATGTCAAGGTGTGTGTGAAAGTGTATGTGTATGTATTTGCATATTGGCAAGGATGGACGGACGGACGGACAGACGTGCGGAAGGATGGCGGAGCGATGGAGGCAAGTAGTGTTGACCCCATATTAATCAACCCCGGTTTATTAATAGGGGGTGTCCCCCTCCAAAAGTGATGATTCCCCACTAAACCTAGGGACATTCCCCTAATAATAAACCGGGGATTAATATGGGGTCAACATTACGCACACAGGGGAGCAGCTAAAACCGTGCGATTTTCGACGCTTTGATCAGGTGCTGCCGCAGGTCATCTACCAGCGAAAGCCCAAGCCGAAGTCACAGGCGCAGCCTCGGTGCTTCCCAGTGGTGGAGCAGTTCCTGGAAAGGGAGGCCCTCTGGAGAGAGCGGAGGGTGTTTCAGCTTAGCCTTGCTTCATCTCAACATGACCTTGCTGCTCAACATATCTTAACATAGCCTTGCTTCCAAGCACGTTCTCAGGATAGTCTTGCTTCACAGCGCATCCGAACACAGCTTTGCTGCACGCCACATCTCTTGCTGCGCAGCACACCTCAACATAGTTTTGCTTCAAAACACATTTCAACGTAGCTTTGCTGCAGCGTGTCTCAACCTGCGGCAGCTCTGGTTGGGGGCATGATTGGGCACTTTCGTTTTTATACATGCTTTCGGGATACGCGAGGTCTAGCAAGGAAAACAGACAAACCCATTTTTCAGTTTGATGCATTTAGAGAGGTGGACATTTTCGGTGTCTCAATGCCTAGTGTCTTCCAAAGTGTGTTGGGAAGGGAGGGTGCCTGAAGTTTATTGTACGACACCCCACACACACACACACACACACGTACGACACACACACACACACAGACTCACACCCGCGCACACACACACACACAGACTTGCACATGAAAAGCGGGCCGGGTTGTGAGGGTCAACGCGGCACTGGCTTCACATTTGACTTCTGCCCTGTGGCTTGTCATCCTTGCGGGTTACACCCTGTGGGTTTGTCTCTAAATAGGGAATGCACCCAAAATCGGCGATTCTCTCTTGGTTTCTCGTTAAACCAATCCAAAAAAGCATAGCGGGCCTCAAAACCCCCCCCCCCCCCCCAATGGGCACAGGTCGCTCTCTCGAGCGGGCGGACGGTCCGCCCCTCTCAGGCCGTGTCTTGCCGAAGAGTCTTCGTGGAGCGCACCTTCCTGCACATTCATCAGGACTTGGGGCAGCCGGCCAAGCGGCGCAGGCGTGCCGGGCGAGCTCCAGAAAAGCTCGACCAAGCCAGGGGCTTTTGGCCTGACTAACCAAAGGCATGTTGGCTGCCCACTTAGAGTCTGGTTTCAGAACGAGGGTTGTGGGTAAGCTGAGCGGCACGGCATGAGAGACTTGGTGTGGCGCGAGCTTCGAGTTCCTGGAATCGGCTTCTTGTCAGGCTGCGAAAGGATGGCTCGCGCCAGCCAGAGGTGCCGGGCTCGGGCCGCACCCATGTTCTCGGCAAAAAATACATCCCCACCTTTCGTCTCTAAGATGGTTTCCACTGCCCCCAAACCACTTCCAGGAGAAACTCCGGGAGTATACCCCTTAGATATAGTGGTCGTACACCCGATACTTCCCTTGGTGGACGCCATCCGTCTCACCAGGCTGCCTGGGACGAGTACTTGCGCACCAACGGGCTGGAGGGGTGTCTGGCGCAGAGCTTTCTGTGGCGCAAGGGGAAGGACCGGACTCTTAGTGGTGCTTTTTTCCCTGTATTTTTTAAAAGGGGAGGAGTTCCCCTTTAAAGTGAACCGAAAAAGGATGCTTTTTTTTGCATGGCCACTGGGCATCTGAGCCTTGATATGTGTGTGGCTCAAAATGAAAGAGTTAGGGCAAACCGCACGTTTTAGTCTTTGGTTCCATTTACCAAGGCTCTATTTTGGTACACGTTTTTGAGCTACAGCCATAATTCCCTTTTTGGGTCGTCAAGACCCCCTTTCTGGTATCTCCTTTTAAACGGAGCTCTATTTCCCTCTTTCAGCTGATTTAAGCCGGCAATAAGCAAGGACTCCGTTTGTGTTCCCTTTCCCAAAAAAACAGCGGTCTTACAAAAACGGCAGGGTTCCAAATATGGGCGTCGAAACAGGGTTTCCCTTTAAACCCATCCCAAGAAGGAAGCGCCCTTGGCCTCAAAAAACCGACACCGATGTGCATATATATATATATATATCTATTATATATATATATATGTATATATATATATATATATATATATGGTACAGCGTTGCCAGCCCCCCCCCCCTCCCCCCCAATGGTCATGGGTCAGGCAAGTACCCCCCCCTGTGGTTGTGGTCCTGTGGTTGGGTTGTGGTGGTTTAGGGTTGGTTTAGAAATGGTTTTGGGTATATTTAGGGTGTATTTAGGGTTAGTTTAGGGTTGGTTCAGGGTTGATTTAGGTTGACTTATATTGATTTAGGGTTGGTTTAGGGTTCGTTTAGGTTCAGAGGTGTACGGTTTAGGGTTTGGTTTAGGGTGTATTTAGGGTTGGTTTAGGGTTAGTTTAGGGTTGGTTTATGGTTGGTTGCGGGTTGGCTTGTCCTGGGGGTGGGGGTGGGGGTGTCGGGGTGTCGGGGTCCGAGTTCAGGGGTCGGGGTGGGGGTGGGACCGTAGGTGCCAGGATCCGGGGGCTCGGGGTCTCGGGCCGGGGGGGGGTCCTGGGGGACCATACCATATGGGGGGGGGGGTAGCAACACGGAACACGGGACCATATATATATATATATATGTATATATATATGTATGTATATATATATGTATACGCATATATCTACGCATATATATATATATATATATAGAGAGAGTACCGTGTCCCCAGCGAGGAGCTGATCTTTGCCGTGGTGCCGTACCCATGCCGCCCCGATGTCCAGAGGCTGGCGGAGGCTCGGTCGAATTTGTGTTGGGCGGTCGAATGGAGGTGAGCCGCTGGCTTCAAAAATCCGAGTCGATTTTTGATACGCGATTGCGGCGATGTCTGAACAGCTTGAGCATTTGTTTTGACAGCATGGAATGTGTATGGGTGAGTACGGTTTACCCCCCTTGTACATAAAGACGGGTGCCGGGAATCCGCCTTGTAAAACATATTTGTCCATTTCTTCTGGGTCCCCCCCCAAACAATATATAAACATACCAGGTTTTGGGGTACTATTTTCTTTACATTTCTTCTGACTCAGGTGCTTGTTGAGAATTCTCGGGGGTGAAACGGCATCCAGGTGCTTCAGCTGCCAGCAGACGAGCTGAGCCCAGTGAAGCTCAAGGAGGCTGGCCGATTAGATCGCCAAAGCCCATGGCACTTGAACGGTGGATTGTGACTCAAAGGAGCCATTCCTTCCCAGCTCGGGTTCCTTCCGTTGACAGGCGACCTGACCTGACAGGTGACCTGACAGGTGACCTGACAGGTGACCTGTCAGAGGTGAGAATTGTGTGAGCATAGCACTAACGCATTGGAAAACCCTTCCGCTGCTCAAAGGAGCCCTTTGCAGATCCAAGAGGGCTCCTTTTCTTTTCTCCCTCAGGTGCAGCGTATCACGCGGCTTCCCCTCTTTGTCTGCTTGCCCTTCGGCGTCCCAGAGGACCCGGCAGACCGTACCAGAAATGCATAAGGTCCAGGGTGGAGATGGCCGAGTATTCGATGGCAAAAGGCTTAAAACATCAGATGTGGTATTCAGATACGTGCAGGGATAAATTACCTACCTAGTTGGTGCAGGATTTGGTCCATCCACAGTATGTTTTGGTTCCCGAAATGTTTCCCCTTCCCTTTCTGGCGGGGTTTTTAGTTCAATCGGTTTTTCCTTGTGGCCTGATTTTGAATATGGCCATGGTTTAAAACCAATGGTACCATTTTGGGATAGGTGCACCACCCATGATAGTCTATTTTAGTGGGGATTGGGATGTTCACTGGGGCTAACCGATGTGGGTTTTGAAAAGCCCATAGCCATATCACCTTTTGGTTGCCTCGGAGGGGTGCGTCTCCTTCGGATGCTTCGGATGCCAGACTGCCCGAGTGGTGGCGGATGAGCAGCTGGCCTCCGAGACGGAGCTGATCTTCGACTCGGGCAACGTGGCGCTGCTGATGAGCGCGGCGGAGTTCGGCAGGCGCTCAAGCGAGCGGGGCCTTGGGGAAAAAAGAAACGGGGCGGGGAGGGCCTTTTATTTTTTGGTTTGGTTTGTAACTGTATGTATATTTTGGTTTGGTTTTGTTTGTATGTTTGTTTTGGTTTGATTTTGTTTGCAAAGATCCGATTAACCAGGGTCCAAGAGCACTTGGTTGTAGCTCTGGTTAGCCTTCTTCGTTGCGGTTCTGGCCACGCTGGTTCGTCTTTGTCTGGGCCCAAAACTCGCGCCCCGGCTCGCTCTTCTTCGCTTTGGCTAGGTTGGAGGAGGAGAAGAGCCGGCATGTGAGAGGTTTCGTGTTCATGTGGGGTCAAGTGAAGTCTAGGCTTGTGGCAACAATTGTCAGCACAAGCAGCTTAGCCACCGTCCACATGTCCGGCTATCGAGTTGTGGGGGGGGGTCAAAGTTTGTTTGGAGCATTTGATCAGGCTTAACCAGAGGTGTAATGGGGGGGAACTAATTCCCGTTTACCTGTAGGATCATGACGCAAAATGTGTTTTTAGGTGCCCTACAACTAATGATTTAGGCCCAGAAAGCTCGGTTCTAGATGCCAAAGAGAGGGACAAGTGTAGACTCGAATGGATACAGGTGGGTTGCATGTCAGTTGTAGGTAGCCGACTTCCTACGTTAACGAGCTTCCGTGTCCCTGCAAATGAACATGGAGCGAAACAAAAAAAGGCACCCCCCCGGGGTTCCAGCATAAAAAGGATGCGGGTTTGTGGTGTTCCGTGCAATCATTTGTACGGGGGCGACGGCCGGGGGCATCCTATCGGTGCCAGATGCTGGAGCGCAGTTAGGCTCACAAAAGTAGCTTTGCAAAGAAACCACACACATGGCCTGCACCCGACTCATTTGCCAAGAAAGAAGACATGAGAACAGATGTTCCACCATTCTGAGTTGCAATTGCCAGGTCTGTGAAGCCGCTGTTTGGTCGCATCACCGCGCTGCCTGCGGAGCCTGCGGAGCCTGCGGAGCCTTCGGAGCCTGCGGAGCCTTCGGAGCCTTCGGAGCCCGCGGAGCCGGCGGAGCAGCCTTCGGGCCGCGCCTGGGCCGGGGGGTTCGGCTTCCGTTTCCAGAGACCTCAGGGATTTTGCCCAGGGGGAAGTCCCTTAGAAGTCATGTTCCAAGCAAGTCATGTGCTTGAGTTTTGTTTTCGCCGTTGGGGCCAGGGTCTGGGCTGAAAGGGCAGGATCCCAGTTTCTTGCTTGCCACCAGTGGGTCCTCCGTTTCGAGAGGTGCGGTGCCTTGACGCGTCGACTGTCATGATAGGTCTTGAGCGGATATTTTCTCTTTGAGAGAGCTGTGACAGACCCAGGTTTGGAAGGAAGCGGCCCAGCCTAAGTACCACGAGGACACGAGCCCAGATGTGCAAATAAAGCAGACACGCTTGAACGATTCATACAGCCTGGCCTCCTATTCTCAAATGTGCGACATCGAGCGCGGTCTTCTGATGCTCTGGAGCAGTTGCCTCACTTTACAGCACACTTGGGTGCGGTGTTCTTCAAGGATCATGCTGGCAAACATGACGTTGAAGACCAGATATTGGGCTCTACTTGCGCCGCAGAAGCTCTGTTCATGCCTCACAGGTGTGCGATGCAGCTCCCAGCTTGCATGGAGGAAGCAGTTTGCAAGAAGACACCTTGCGACTGAGGAGGCAGATTGGCGCGCCTTCAAAGTTGCATCTCCGATGTAGGCGTTATTTACAAAGCTCAAGCTCACCCATGTCGCTGATCCCTCGATCTGTTGAATCGTAGCAACCTTCGCTGTGGGAAAGTCCGAGAGGAGTCTGCGAAAGTGGGCCGAGCGTTTGATTCTTAAATTGGGGTCCGCCCAATTTGAGGAAAAAGACATGACGGGTGATACTTTTGGGCTCGCCGGCTTGGGGTATCTCACCAATAACAGGGGTAGTTTCTGCCATGAGGACGGCCTGACCACAAGTGCGTTTGGCAGGCCAATGGAGCTCGGCGCAAGAGGGAGTTCGAGGTGGGTTGGGCCTTGACAAAGCTGCATGTGCTCAGAAGGTCCAATGTTTGTTGTTGCTGAATAAGACACGATATGGCTGTCGGTCAAAACATTTTAGTCTATTTTAGTGGGGATTGGGATGTTCACTGGCCCTAAACCCTACAGCCCTGCAACCGGAATTTTAAACAACTTTAGGTCCCTTGTGGGCCTTTGCTGAAAAAGACAACGCACCTCCCCAAACCCCACAGCCCTGCAACCAGCCGCTGGAAGATTAAACAACTTTGGGTCCCTTGTCTTGTGGGCCTTTGCTGAAAAAGACAACGCACCTCCCCAAACCCCACAGCCCTACAACCATATCCGCTGGAATTTTGAACGACTTGAGGTCCCTTATGGCTGGAATTTTAAACAACTTGAGGGGTTTTGGTTTTGGGGGGTTTCCTCTAGGCCCTTTGCGGCACCCGAAGCAGCGGTAGGTGGGCGCCCGAAGCAGCTTCGAGATGCCCGAGCAGCGGCTGGCAAGGCTGCAGGTGGGAGGTTTGGTTGGACGGCTGGCTCTTTATTAACGTTTCAGCTCCTGCGAACCATACCCCGAATCATACCCGCGAATCATACCCCCCATCCAAACTTCCCGGATCGAGCACCTTGTTTCGGCTCAGACCCAAGTATATTTTTCTAATATATATATATAGTATATATATATGTAGTATGTACAAGAAGTATATATATATATATATATATATATATGGGGGTGTTGTCAAAAATATGGACCCGTTTTGGGACCTGGTGCTGCCGATACGTGCTGCCTTTTCAAGAGGAATCAAAAAGGGCCCCCAGTTGTGACAAACCTGCATACATATCAAATATACATGTTTTAAGGCTGGTGTTGAAGGAGCATCACGTGCAAAATGGGGTTTGTGGAATGTTGTACAGATTATCTACCGAAATAAGAAAAAAAACAACACACAAAAAGTGGAAGAGGGGTTTCGGTCTCGCTTTTTTCAGGGATGGGGACATCATGACAGGCAAATGTGAGTTTGTGTCAAACTTTGAGTGGACATCTTTTTGGCGATCCGTGGCGTTGTTTGCTCATCAGGTTCCGAACACATTGGGCTCGTGGCATCCATAAAGAAGTCTTGCATCAAGCATGGTTGCTTTGGTATCCAAGCATAGCTTCCAGTGCATACTTTTTGTGGCTAGCTATGCTTGTATTCTGCATGCGCACACACACAGAGTTGTATGTCATGATCGTAACTCAGCAGCGGTCGAACTGAGAGGCTTCTTTGGCATCGCTTGACCCTGGAGGGCTCTCTCCTGCAGCATGAAGTGCGATTGACCGACATTACTTTATATTGGTGAGCATGCTTGATGCTTTTTTAAGAGTGACCGCGGCTACTGATAGTTGTGAACAAATTAAAGAGTTGAACCTTCAGCATTCACATGCTTCAAATGCTTCCTCATTTCTTCCGCAAGTGGTGAACAAGTGCCTGCGATCCATTCTTGCTTGATGTGTCACATGGGCTTGTCTCCATTTGGGTTCCCCTCTAAAATCGCCCGAAACGGGTCCCGCAAAAGCAGGACCCACAACAACATGATGTGCGTGTGTGGCTCAAACGAGGAGAACCCCAAGATGCATATCCTCAAGGCTACGTCGGGTTGCATTGGGGATATCGACAGACGATCATAAATTTCAATCACATACACACATACACACGCACGCACGCACGCACGCACGCAGAGACGCTCAGTAACTGTGCGCCCTCCCAAAAAAGAGAGAGGTGTCATTTTCCGTTGCAGCCACACGCCTTCGACAGGCGGAGGTCTCGGAGCTGCTCATCTACGCGGAGAAGTCTGCGGCCAAGGCGAGCCGACGAAAGGTTACGGCAACCGCTAGATCTGTGGTGGGGTTTGCCTGCAGTTCTTTCGTCCAACCTGAAAAGGGTAACTTTAGGAAACATGGAGCTGCCCCACGGTCCACCAAGGGTTTTTTTGCATGAATCTTCACTTTCATGTGGGTCTTGTTTTGAGGGTACTTTCTCTTTTGCTTGCTTCTTTGGTTGGCTGTTTGGGGCACTGCTGGCAGCTGGGGCTTGCATGTCACAAGGGCATTCGATTCAAAAACCAGATGGAATTCAGTGTTGCCGCGAGTGGAGAATGCTTGCCACAGGTGCTGGTTGGGGCTGGTCCTCCACATAGGCTCTTTCTCCATCCCGAAGTAGCATGTCAATTGCAAGATCGTCGTCGATTCCTTGCCTCGCGATTTCTTTTGACACCTTCGTCACAGTAAAGGAAGCATCCAATCTGCGACAAAAGCCATGGGTCAAGCTAGCAATCCTGTCTTTTCGGATGTGCTTCCGCTTTCGAACCTCCGAACCGGATTCTCCGATTTCGAATCGGCCGCCTGACCGCTGCACATGAGATATGTGGCTTTGTGTGTGTGTGTGTGTGTGTGTGTGTGTGTGTGTGTGTGTGTGTGTGTGTGTGTGTGTGTGTGTGTGTGTGCGTCTTTCTTTAGTTGGCAGCCCATGTTTTTTCAATATTTCGCGGAGAGCCAAAAAAGGGGAAAGCAAAACCGCCCTCCCCATGTTGTTTGGGTCTGCCCAGAAGACACACCTGGCGCCGCCCTTTTCGATACGATAGGACCCGGCGGCCGCCGAGCTCCTGGGCTTTCCCGCCGCGGTTTTGGGGGCGGTGTCTCTCATGGGTCTGTCGATTTTGGCTTCCCCTTTGATTGGCCATCCCAGAAAAGGGTGCCCGAAGAGTAAGGACACACCCAGATGGGTCTGTGAGGCTACCCTCCCACCATGGAATCTGACTGGGTCCCGGAAGGCCAGAGACCCTTTGGTGCGTTCCAGTGGACAGGAGGGTGCCGTTGGGGTTGCTTTGGGAGACCAACGGGGAAACCACAGTTTCAGGGGGTCCCTTGTTTGAAGATAGACCCAAATGGATTTCGGACCTGCTTTTGGTCGGTGTTGAAACGGACGGTTGCCGTTTTAGAGGCCCGATTCCTATTTTGAGACCCCCCCCCCAGCTAGAGCTACTTGTCACGCCATGACTCGATCATTCGCCATGGTCCCATATCAGATCGCATGTTTGCCAGCTGGCAGCCCCAGAAAATGACCGGTCATCCTTTTGTTTGGGCGACCATGCAGTTTGTGACCCTTTTTGGCAGCATGCGCGGCTCCTTTTTGGCAGCTGTGAACTGATCATGGTACAAAGTGCCTTGATGCAGGAAGAGTTTCCGGAAAGAAACTTCAGGTTGAATAGGCAGAGTTCTTTCTTGTATGCATCAGCTCTTTCCAGTGCTTGACTTTTGGGATGGAGGTTTCCGTGGAACTGAATGAAGCTCGGATCATTGCAGGGGCCGACCCTGGCGCGATGTCCACAGAGCTGAAGGCTGGGCAAAACATCTGATGGTGGTTTTCGGGGAGATGTGAGAAAATAGTGCACCCCCAAAAGTGGGCTCGGTGTTCTTTTGGGTTTCGAATTGAACCCACTCAACAAGTCATGCAAACGACACAGAGGGGCATGGAGCCCAAAGTCGGGAGCCAAAGTTGTGGTGCCAGGCGCCTTCAAGCCCGAGGTGATTTGAGCCCGTGGCAAAATGGCGACGATTCGGATTTGAAGTCCCTTCATTTCCTTAACATGTTTGACTAAACCTCACGCCTGCCGAAAAAGCATCAACTTTGAACTTGGGTGGAAAAGGCCCCCCTCCCCCCCCCGGCGGTTTTGAGGCAACCGTTTTAGCACGCAGCACAAATTATGGAGATCGAGCTGTGCAGCGACATTTCCTGGCGCTTCACCCCCAAGCAGCCTTTCCCTGCATCTATCCCGAGATATGCAATGCTGCACCGAAAGCGCATCCTGAGCCCCAACGCAAGCTTAAGCCAACTCGTGCGCCTGGGAACGCGGTAATCCAAAAACAACCCCAGAATCCAATCTTCTAGGGACTCCATGTGCGCAATGCTGTACCATGTTGTGCCTGATTTCTCACATCCGTTTGTGCTTCGAAAATTTCACCGAGGGTTTCCCCGCGTGCGATATGGATGTGTCCCTTTCTTTGGTGACCCCGCATATTTGGTATTTGGTTTTCCTTTTGATTTCCCTTTGAACCCACGGTCTTCCTTTCCTTTTCCCTTTGAGCCAACCTTGGCGCAGGAATTGGGGTCTGACTTCCAGTCGGAAATGCACCCCGGACATGAAGCTCACATTTGGCAATGGTTGGGTTTATGTCCACCATTCTCAAGTTTGTTCCAAGCATCGACCCTCAAGGTCGGGTTCCCCCCAAAGAGCCACCCACATCGCACCGCGGCATTTTTTGGCCGCGGGTTCCAGGTGCTGGAGCAGCGCTTGGGCGCCCTTGCGGACGGGCCAGGGAGCCCGGCTGACATTCAGGGAGCCCGGCTGACATCAAGCTGTCCTCCGGGAAAGTCGGCAAAAGGAATGGATGCCATGGGAAAATGCAATGAAGGCACACTGAATATGTATTGAGAGGTGCATTTTGCTGACTTCAACTTCTGGCCAGCCAATGGGTTTCCATTAAACCACTAAAAGTTAAACTTTTAGCAGGGGAGCAGAAAGCAACCGGTGTATAGATATACACAGACGAGTCCGCGCGATGTGGGTTTTGACCGCTGTTGGTGTGGGCATGAGGCATATTGAATATTGGATTGTTCACATGGCCGTGGGTCAACATCAATGGCCATTTTGGGGTAGGTGAATTCAGCACCCATTTTAGGCTTCCTATTTTAGTGGTTGGATTGAATCGGATGTTCACTGGGGGCTAAACGATTTGGGTTTTGACCCATGGCCAGGGATGCAACGACCTTTCGGAATTCCAGCTCCACAGTCGCCACAGTGCCAGGTCCACCGCGTGGGGCAGAAGCAGCAACCGGCACCAGGCTTTCTCTCAAGCGTCGCCGCGTGCGAAACGTTTCGAAGATGCCCTGCAAAAGGACTCCACAAAGCTGTCTACACCCCCACCGAAGAACATGGGTTAGTGCACAGGCCCCTGTAGAAAGACGACTTTCCTCTTGGAAAGGGGCCAAATGTGCACTAACCCATGTTAGTTGGTGGGAGGGTAGCAGATATTTTCATTATGTTCCAGGATGTTTTCCAAGGAATGACATCCTTGTGTGAAGGAGTTGGATCCATCGAAAAATCGATCGCTGTGACCTGTTGCTTTGCCAGGCGGGTGGCTACGCGATGCCGTCGTCGGGGCCTAAGTGGTAGATGCTCTAGCTCTACTTCTTGCCCAGTCAACTTGGCCATTGGTCAAAAGCCAAATCGTACCCCCAGTGAAGCTCCCAATCCAACCACTAAAATAGGAAGCCTAAAATGGGTGGTGAATCCACCTACCAACCAAAATGGGATCCCAAAACGGTTTTGACAACCACAGCCACTTCACTCGGACCGCCAGGCGCAAAACGAGGACGCTTCGGTATGAATTGACCAGCTCCGAGCCTCGCACCATGACAAACGCGAAAGAACAACAAACAAACCAGTCCCGAAACGGGATGGACTCCAACATGGAAGTGCGGAGGCTCCTTTTCCCTGGAAGACGGTAGAAGGTTCTATGCAAGCCATGTTTGTTGGAGGGTAAGCTCAAAAGATAGGTTTGTTCTTTGTTAGGAATCTCTTGAACCCCCAGAATGGCAGCGGTTTTCGCCCCTTTCAACTACTCCCCAGATGAACACGGAACACGGAAAACCCTGAGTTGTAGGGGGTGCAAGAAGGTAATCGTCATTTGGGGTGGTTGCCCTTTTCTCTTCTAAGCCATCCCCAAAGGTGTAAAGACAGATTTCTAAAAAAATCGAGTTTGGCTTCCTTTTGAATAGCCCCCCCATGTTGCGGTTGAGTGGTTCTTCCCTCATTCCAATCACCCCAAAAGGTGTAAGTTTCCGTTTAATGTCCCTTGACCTCTCCATTTGTTTGCGGTTTCTGTTAACTTGCGCTTCTCCAGCCCAAGACGTGTAGACATGGGTTCCGCTTTTCGACTACGACAGGCTTCCCAATCATTTCCCTTGGAGTGAAATCAACCGCCCCTGGAATCAAGTCTATCTTAGTGATAAAGTGGAATGACAACCCCAAGAGAAGCCCAATCGTTTCCCTTAGTGAAATCCACCACTGGGTTTTGAAGTCTACCTTGGGCCCTAAAGTCATAAAGTGGAGCCCGGCGTTGGATCCCAAAGACGACGCCCCGTTTGGGTCGTCCCGTTTTCGGATCGGCTCCAGGTCCCTGGTGAGCCAGTTGGAGCGCCTCGCGGGGGGCGAGGCTCAGGAGGTGGCCGACGGGCCCGGAACCCCGTCGGAAAAAAAATTCCGTGGGGACGGGCCCGGAACCCCGTCGGAAAAAAAAATCCGTGGGGTGAAGCCCCAGAGGTCGGACCCCAGCCATGGCGGACCACTCCAAACCATCTGTAACATACCTAGGGTCGGTCTTGGGTGGTGGGATTTGAAACCACCATGGGAAGCCACCCGCAACACAGTTTGCTTTTGGTTTCCTTTCAATCCAAGGAAAAAGGGGGTACCCCAAAAGGAGAAACCCAAGTGGTCGTTGATTCAACGAACCCAGCCAAAATGGCGGGTTTCCTTTTGATTTTCCTTCAAAACCATAAAGCTTGTCTGTTTTCATCTATGAGGATACTGTTGTTTGGGTTTCAAAGCAAAACCGCAAGGACACCAGGCATGTTGGGGTTCTGTTTCGTGAAAGTCGCCTGGTCTCTTGGGCTGACTTTAATTGTAAAATACTGAGGCCAGTGTCAACCTCGTGAGACCCACCTTTTACAAGTTCCCTTGCCGCAAAAAGCCGGACACTGATATGCTGGATGGTCATTTGGCCAGGCTTTTGGTGAAGGACTCACCAGCAAATCATTGTAACATCCCGTCGACTGCGCTGGCAGCGACAGCTTCCAAGAGGCACAAATCAGACAGTTGTTTACCCATCTGTTTTGTAAGGTTCAACAAGTCAGTTTGGGGGCATGTAAGAGGGTTTTGACTACCCCCAAACTACCCCCACAATTTGACCTGATATAGAGCCACTATGTCGCCACTAGCGGAAGAACCATCCACACTTGTTTCTTTGGGATCCTTTCTCCCTTTGTTGCCGGTGTAGTGGTTGTCCGGAAATAGTGGTTCAACCCGGTGGTTTCCATTGGTTTCCCTTTGAAAAAACTGCCACCAGGGGTCGTCGGTCGTCCATTTTGAAAAACGCTCACATATGTCGTCTTTGAAGGGCCCCCAGACTTGTGGTTTTGCTGGTGGTTGCCCCCGAGTCCGTTTTTTGAGACCCTGAAATTGAAGAAATCGTGTTGCTTGTGGGATGCGGTGCAAGAAGGCGGGGGGAGACAACACCCAATCCGCATCTTAAGCCAACAAAATGCGTGTGAACATGGTTTCAAACGCACACACACACACACACATGCCAGGAAATCTTGGTTGCTACCCAGCCCCCCCCTTCCGCATGAGCATGAGCCGCAGGAGAAACAGCAGTTTCCGCTGAAAGCTTGTAAACATTTATGACAAACTCGTGCCCTGCCTTCTTCGGTTTGATAAGTTAACACCGAAACTATATGCTGAATGGTGCTGTGTGTGAGCCCAAGCATACGGCACCTAAGCTCGCTTCCAGCAAACATGAGCAAGAGGATAGCTGTCGTAGTCAACAGAGTCATTGTGTTCATGCCACGGCATCGCTTGGGTAAGCATTCCCTACTCAGCGCCTGTCGAAAATGCGGGCAACGAGGTCGTTTGAAGCATCTAACTGCTGCCAGAGTTGCCCCGCGTTGACCAAAATAACAGCCAGCTGTCGGAACTCGACGACTGGAGCAGCGCAAAGTCCCAAGCAGCCGACGCGCCGGTCTCAACTTGGTGGCTCCCAGCCATCCCCTTAGCTTGTTAGCCTTTTAGCGTTTAGTGGTAGTTTCCATTTAACCCACTAAAAGTTAAACTTTTAGCGGGGGATCTGAGGGCAGCCGAGTCAAGGCAAGTGACCTACGAGATCAACTACGCCCCCAGCGCGGCCAGCATCAACGATGGTGTCGGGCACTGAGATGAAGCCGTCACTGCAGCAGACCAGGAGATGTTTGCGAGGTCATTTAACTGGTGACTCCCAATTCCTTAGCTTTTTAGTGTTTCGTTGTAGTTTCCGAATTAAACTCGCTAAAAGTTATTCACTTTTGGTGGGGGATCTGAAAACGGGCAGCCCAGAGTTAGTCTTGGAGACTTGGAGAGCCGGCAGCGTAGCGCCTGGTGGTCATCAAAAAGTCGCTCACCGCTTTTTTGCAAGTGGAACAAGCGTCAAAAGGGTTGCACACCTTTCATTCTGCAGAATTGGTCTCAATTCCATTCTTTTCTGTCCATGTTGAGTTCATACGAATGATTTTAGATCTACTCGGGGATTGGTCTCCACGACACATTCCGGAATTGTTCATCAGATCACATTAGTATGGGTGTGTGTTTGTTTTTTCGGGAACGCCCGTGTGGTTTGTTTGGAAAGCGCCCGTGCATTTTGGGGGGGAGGTCGCGATTTTATGAGAAACCTACATTTGTTCGTATAGGATTCGCTGCTGGACGAACCTTTTGGGACAGCTTTTGGCAGGATCCCAAAGCTACTCTTCTGTGACTTCGAAAGAAGCAAATACATAAAAGGCAAAAACAAAACCCTTACCCCCGGGTGTGTCTTTGTTGGACCCCCCAATTTGGGGGGCGCAATTTGGGTTTTCCTCTTGGCCTTTCCCTTCGGCTCCGCCCAAAAACCGAGGGGCGGACCTTCGGCCAACACCCGCCGCGCGTTTATGGGAGGCGAAGATCGCGGCGATGGAGAGCAGCGTGGCGGACCGGGGAAGCTGCGTGTCTTCGTTTTCCTTCGGTTTTTAGCCAAGAATTTTGGGTACCATGAACAAGAAGCGCACACAATAAACAACCACATAGCCACTTGGAAGGTGTGGGGATTTTTAGGGGTTTGGAGTCCGCAAAATGGCGGGTTTGCCGTTCAACAGGGACACGCAGGGTTCCTCACCGCCCCGCCCATTTTGCGGTGTTCCAGTGGTTAGTCGGCTGGCGTTTGGGTTTGCCGCTTCTGTCTGCTTGGTGTGTACTTTGTGGTTTGTTGGTTCTGGGGCGTGTAGTTTTTTGCGAATACACGTTCATGATATTTGCTGCTCGACAGGACATTTTATTATATATCTACTACTATTACCAGTGCTTTTTGCTCCAATTTTACCACCAGGCAACTTGTATTTTCGACCACCCCACCCCACCCCATCCCACCCCACCCCACCCCACCGCACCGCACCCATTTTAGAACCTATTTTAGTGGGGATTGGGATGTTCGCTGGGGGCTAACCGATTTGGGTTTTGAAAAGCCCATAGCCATATCCCCTCATGGTAGGGGAGGGGGCCGTCCAGGAGATCGAAAAGACGCTTGGGGTGCTGCAGCCTCATCCCTTCCCCGCCTGGCTCCGAGTGCGGCCTCTTTTTTTTTTTGGCCCGGCGCCAACTCAAAATGGTTTTTCCCCTTGGCAAGTGTCAAAAGGGACGTGTTTTTTTTTTTTTTTTTTCTGGGTCAAACATTTTTCAGCCCCCAGGAATCGGACCGCAGGTTTTGGTCCTTGGTTCCATTTACGAGGGTTCCAGTTTGGGTGCCAAGTTTTTGACCCACAGCCACATGAGAAGAAGCTGGAAGGGTCCCTTTGGACAGGAACAAAGTTTGGGGAGGGCCCAATTTATTCCAGAGGCGATTCTGGGGCTTGGCTTAGGATGCTCGTTGTGTGGCCGCATGTCCCAATGCTACCGTCCAGGAAGCGGTCATGAAGACCATTTTGCCCTTCCGAGTTTTTTGTTGCGGGGACTCTGCGCATTTGGCGTATAAAGTCTTCCCGAACTGACAATGGCGCTTAGGATCTTCAGACGGCCATCGCGCAGCTGTCGAAGCGGGTCTCTCTGCTGGACCGAGGGCTTCGCGGGTTGACACGGTAACTTTTCGCAGCAAGTTGACACGATCAGATGCTGGGCCCTGACAAACATCGTGCACGGTGGGGTAGGTGGGGCGTGGTGTGGGCTGGGTGTAGTATTGCAAAGGAGACTCGGAGACTCATCACTTGCAGACTCTTCCAGATAGAAAATTCGACGGGGCGGATGGGTTTCCTCCAATGTCTTGTGGTTAGCGTTTTTTTTAACTCTTCCAGAATAGTTGTCGACGGTGCGGATGGGTTTCCTCCAATGTCTTGTGGTTAGCGTGCTTTTCTTTTGCCTTGCCGTGTGAGATTCTTCCCTTGCACTCGCTCTCTAGCTCACCCAAGCCTTCTTGCAGATGGTGCTTGCCACTAGACGCTCGGAGTCAGTTGTTTGCTGGCAGCGTGTCACCCGCATGTAAAAAAGCTGTGGCGCAGACAACCAAGTACTTGTTGCGCGAGACTCTTGCCGAAGAAGGCTGGTTGAGGCGTTGTGGAAGGGAAACGTGGAGCCAACCTGGCTTCTGAACATGTTGCCGGAATCGCTCGGCAGCCCAATGTCGTGGATGCCTTTAGGAGAAAAATGGGAAGATTGACACCATGAACCGGGGCCTAGAGAAGGCGGGGCCAGCTCATGGATTGACATGGCCCCCTTTGGTCTTTCTGAGGCTTCGAGACACCGAAAGATGTGATGCGCTTAGCTCCCCATCGTGGAGCAAACCAAACATGGGCTGAATTTTGATCTGCCCCTTTGGTACTTTACATTGCGCGTGAAAAGATCGCCTTCCCTCTTCCCGGACCTTGATAAGGGTTTTCCTTGCAAGAGATGGAGGATGTTGGTTCAACTTGCGTTGTGTGTTTGATCTTGAGAATTGCAATGCATAGACCCCCTGTTGCGAGACAGGCCTTCCAAACATGCCGTTTGCAGGACTGGTTTGTTCGAGGGCGTGCAGTTCCAAGTCGTTTGAGGTCCACTTGATTGAACTGGCGATTCAGCCTGCCCCTGTTTATATTTGGCTTCTTCAGGACAGCCAAAGGGAAAACCATGTTATTACTATTTTGGGTGCCCAAAGACACCGCCATGCAAAAACAATCTCCTGATGTGTGTGTTTTTTTGGTCGGTTCTCAAAGACACCGCCATCAAGAAGTCTCCGCCTCGTCTCGTCAGGTTGCCAAGGAGGTGGACCATCTTCTCACCAAGAAGGCAAGGACTTTGACCGAGCGCTTGCTTCCGCACTGCTGGGTATGGGGTATGTGGGGTCAGCATGGAGCCTGTGGAGCTGGTGTCTTTTTGGGCGTTCATTGTTTTTTTACTTAACCTCTTCAGAGCCATTGGACTCAGCAAGCGGCTTGATATCCTGAGCATCTCATGTCAGGCCAGTCTTCGCAAGATCTGCGTGCTTTTGACCTGCGATTTTACAACCAGCTTGTTTGAAGGGGGGGCTTGCCTGCTCTTTTCCGACTCTTTCCTGGCGTGCTTGTATTCAGCAAGAGCACGCATGGGCGTGAAACAACAGCCAGCAAGACATGGTTTTAGTTAAAAACCAAGTTGATGGCATTTCTCACGACACCCCACCAAGGCATGGCTCTGGTTCAAACAGGTGGGTGTCATTTCCCACAACAGTCCCCCAAAGAACAACGGTTTAAGTTCAACGCCGCGTCGCCGAAGAAAAATCTCGGAGGACCCTCATGGCTTCGATGGGAAACGGCGCTCGAGCCATCCGCTCGCCGCAGGCGGAGCTGGAGGGCACCTCGGACAAGGACCTGGACCTGAAGGTGGGGTCGGAGCGAGGGTCGGACGGCTGAGCGGGCGCCCGTTGGGGCCTTTTTCTTCTTCTTTTTCTCCTTCTTCCGTTTGGGACTTCCCGTTTTTTTTTTTTACCCCCCTGGGCCCCTGGGGTTTAGGGGACTTCCAAAATGGTGTTTTTTGGACAGTTTACCTTTCCTCCTTTCCAACATGGCACCTGACAGGGGGTGTGCTCCTAGGTACCCCTCTACTAACATGGCACCTGACAGGGGGGTCCTCCAAGAGGAAATGGATATAGGTACCCAAGCCCACAGTTGCTACGTTAGTGGGAGAGAGGGTACCCCTCAAAAAAGGAGAACCCCAAAGGGTGGCGTTTTTTTTGTGTGCCGATTGCCTTGAAAGCAACCTGTTTTTTTCCAGCTCTCCAATAGGATTGGTGAGGTGGTGGTTTCTCACTGCAAGAACCAGTCCAAGCTGTCAACGAGGGGAAGCTGCTGTTTTTTGACAGGAACCACCAAAAGAAGGGGAAATGATTGGCGGTTTTTTTTAACGCCAGCTGCGGAGCAGCTAAGACTTCCAGAAGCTGGGCATGGGCAGAGGCATCTTATGTGCTCCTGTGTGGTTTGATTGCCATGAATGGCAAAAGGGTCACCTAGACAGAGTTTGTCACACTTTGTTCAGTGGGTGTGGTAGCACTGCTGGCGTGGCGCAACTGCAAAGTTTGTGCAAAGCCCCTGGAGAAGCGACATGGCAGACACCAAATGTCAGAGGCACCAATCGCATGTGGGCCAAGCTCGCTGAGTCTTTGCTACACGCCCATCGTACTGTGCCGTTGGAAACATCGCTCTACTTTTTGGGTGGTCCTCAAAAGGACCTATGTTTGCTTTCTTTGGGTTTCTCCTGAACACCATCCCTTGTTCGGAGGCGGAACAACAATTAGAAACTCACGCCTAACAGATTTGATTCTGGGAACCACGCAATCTTCCGGGAAATTCCCGGCTCCTGGGACCCTCACATGTTTGGGGTCCAAAACTCTCGAAGTTTCTTGAGCACCGTTTTTGGGTTGGGAACGGCTAAACCACGTTTGCATATCTGGTAGGTGAGCCAGCTCTATGACTTCTGCCATCGCTGGAGTGCCACGGACCGGGGCCTTGGCTCTGGTGAAACGGGCCGGGGACCGTTCTCTTTTTCTTTTTTTTTTCTTCCTTGGTTCTGAGAGAAGACTTTCGGGGTTGGTTTAAAGGAAACCCAGGGGGTGAATGAAGAGATTGGGTTGAGGTCAAGCCAATGAGCGACTGGTCAGGCTCGGGTGATGGGGGTTTTGGCCACGCTCTAAGGGTGAGGTTTTCTTTTTTTTGTTCTTTCTTCAGTTTCAGCCCTGTTTCCACATGGTTTCAATCTGGGGAGTTCAGCACATCTTTGCCCCCACGCCCGAAATGCCCTAGAGTTCGGGTTGAGAGCAAACAACTTGGATGAGTCGGGCTAGGCAAAGGAGAGGCGGATCTCACCATATTCAAGTGTGCACCTGGGCAAAGGAGCAAACATAGCACTGCAAGTTGCGATGTAGCGAAGTCAAGGAGCTCAAGGCAAGGAAGAAGGACATGGCAGATTCACTACTACTGTGGATGCACGAAATCCGTTTCGCAGCACCCAAGAAACCCCGGAACGATGATTCCCGGTAAATACCAACAACCAATCGCTTCCCATGGGTTCAAAGTGGTGCGAAATGGATTTTGTCCATCCACAGAATGAACGTGGAGCACACTATCTCCATCTCGAGCCCCAAGTTGCGTCCTCCTCGAGATCGATCCTCGACCGAGGCAGCCTCGCTGCCTCTCATCGTGTCGCGGCTCCAGTCGCTGCAGGAGGGCCAGGGAACGCGGGGCCCAAGGTTTTTTTTGGGAAGGTAAACATCTTCCGGACGCCTTCTCGCTGAGGGCAAAGTAAGGCAGGCGCACTGGCGAGACTAGTACATGCCGTTTTCAATCCCCTTTTCGGCCTTGAATACATTGGCCCATTCCTTTTTTCCTTTCCACCTTTTCCATCGTCTGGTTTCCTATAGTTCCCTCCAAGGTGATAGGGACGCCCCATGAATAAACTGGGGGTTGAATATTTGTTTCAACACTTTCGTGGCATTCGTTTCCACTTTTTTTGACTGTCTGCTTGCCTGCCATTTTCTTTTCCGTGGCTTGCCCATCCACCCGTCTTCCTTTCCACCTTCTGCTTCCCGCGAAGCCGGCTTTCGGCTTTCGGCTTTCGGCTTTCGCCAGGCGCTGCATCTGCAGAGCGCCTCCTTCGCCTCGCGCCTCGCGGCGCTGGAGAAGCAACAGGACGCTCGGTCGCTCGGTCGCTCGCTCGCTCGGGTGGCGTGGGGGACATTGTCTCCAGGCATCCTTTTGGGGAGCTTTTGGGCCAATGCCCATGGGCTTGGGCAAGGAGTTGTTTTTTTTTGTTCGGGGGGTGAAGGAAATGGAATCCTCTTGTTTGCGCCAATGCCCAATGGGTTTGGGCAAGGAGTTTTCTTGGTTCCTATTCGGGGGTTTTGTTGGAATGGGCATCTTGTCTGCTGCCTGGCAACGATATTTTTTTTGTTTTGTTCCGGGGGTTTTGGTTGGACATTGCATTGTCTTGTTTGGCATTTTGGTGGACATTGCCGCCAAAACAATCCTTGGCTTTGGCACGCAGTTTCGGTTTGGGCACTGAGCCCTGCTCCGGGCACGGAGGTTGGCCATGGGTCTCTTGTGAGGCACGGGGTGACTGCCGCACCAAGAAACGCCCACGTTTGTGGAATGAGCTCCTGGTCCCCCAGCTAGGTGCCCTTAACCCGTTTCTTTTTTGGGGAAGAGGGGAACCCCCTACTAAAATAGACAAAGCTGAGAAAAGTTGTTACCCTTATGCTAACCTTTCTATTGAAGGACCTAGATGAGCTCCTGGTCGTTGGATTGGTTGAAGTCCAAGATTCTTGTCTCCAAGCGAACATATGTTTGTGTACCACTCGTGCGTTTTGTTGGACAGCTTCGAGGAAACACACAGAGGAATATTGCAATCTCCCACGCGGAACACAACGCTGGAGCTGGTTTGTGATGTTTGGACCTGGAAACAAACAACAACTTCGATATCGACCACCTGGCAAACTCAAGCTTGATGATGTGATTCGTGCTCCTGTCCCTCACGTTGTCTGGTACTGAATTGCCAGGACGCAGGAGATACTGGGTGCTTTCCTGGCGGATTCCACGTTTCATCCTCCCGGGCGTTGTTTTGCTACATGGGTATGGGGCAACATTTAACCACCAGGGGACCGCAGGTTTTAGTCCTTAGTTCCATTTACCAGGCTTTTATTTGGGGTACCGTTTTTTGACCCACACCCACATAGAGGTTTTGAAAGAATCTGTGCTCTGTAAAGAGGCAGTACACATCAGCCCTTTTTCCAGTTGCTGAAGGGGACCCTTTCGAGTGGCATGCCTTTGTTCTCTCGCTTACCCGAGACAGGAGGAGCTGACCAGATTACTGGAGACGACTTCTGAGGCTGTTCAGGACGGGCGATTACCGCATCGGACATTTCTGGCTCCACTCCACGAGTGGCGTGAGGCTGCCTTGAAAAACCGGATGATGTTTCGGATGACGCGTCTCAGGAGTACAAACGACCTTGCGATGAGGCATCCTGCTTTGGGGGATTCAGGAGTTTTGCAATTCACTCAGGTTATTGAGGATGCTCGACTGCTCAGGGAATCTTGCCATCACAGCGGATCTTGCGCAACATCTCTTACGACCTCAAATCAGGAACAGAACCATCCTCCACCTGCCCAAAATCATCTCGCCAGGACCTGAACGCTGGACTCCAGGAGAACATGACCATTGCGACCCGGGCGGAAGTCCTGCGGGACGTTCCGAGTCTTCAACGGGCGAAGTCGCGCGCGAGTTTCCCCATAAGGGCGGCGAAAAATAAAATAAAATAAACATGCCCTGAGCAGGAGGGCTTATTGGCTTGTTCCAGCCGGGCTTTTGTGAGTGTCCAGACAAGTCTTGCATGGAAACTTTTGGAGTGCCATGCACGTCACAGGACTTCTTCTGCACTTGGCCAAATCTGATGTTTTCGGGGTTCAGACTGAGCGAAATAGCACGAAGTGCCCGGGTGGCGTTGAGCCCGTGCCTTTGTGTGCCTGGGGCTTCTCTCCTCGTGTCTCACCGACTTCCGAGCCCATTTCCGAGCGGCGTGCTTCGCGCTTCCCCCGGGCGCGCGTAAAAGGGCGCGCGTTTGGTCGCGTTGACTTTGAGCGGTTTCAGGTACGAGACAACATGCGCAGCTTGGAGGACAAGATCATGCAGGAGGGGCCAGTCCTGGGGTCCAAGGGAGCGGCAGTCGACACTTTGCTGGACAAGGGGCTGTGGCTCAAAAATGAGGCCCCCAAATCCAAATGGAACCCCTGGTAAATGGAAAAGTAGAGCGAAACCTGCGTAACCCTGGGTCTTGATTTTTGAGCCACACCCAACGTATAGCTACATTTCAAGACATGTATGAACTTTAAACCTTTTGGTACTGGGGTCATTTAGCTACTTTCATTGCAACTTTTTGGTTTCCTATTCATGATGGGGCCAGCCAAGCTCAACATGTGTTGATGTTGGCAAGATCCCAAACGACGTGCCAGCACAGGTTCCAGGCCCAAACATGGGAAGGCTGGTAGGGAACCCCCCCCAAATGGGGTAGTTTCCTTTTGGTCTTCCTTTAAGACTATCCAAAACGGATAGACAAAAGAAAGAGTACCCTTCAAAAAGACAAGCCACCCACCTGGCGGCGGTTTTTCTGTCTGCCAAGAGGTACTCAGGCGTGCCGTGGAGAAACGTGGACACATTTTTTGCGGTAAGATGCTGAATTCGTGTAAGACGAGGTAGGAACATCCCCAAACAGAGGTAGAGCTATGATGTGTACACAAACACATGCGGCGTTGGAAAACGAGGTCAATGAGTCCATACGGGTGAAGGGTTGGAGAACGAGGTGGGAACATCAACCATGTAGCAAATACCAGCCGTAGCTCAGGTGAGCAATAGTGAACAATTACCTTCATTTACTGTAAGCATGGGTCGCACACTCACCAAACGATTATTGGGAAAGGGCCATCTAAGCTATTGGCAGGCTGTGCGCGGCTAGTGACGCGTGCAATGGAGTTAAAATTCATGGCCGACTGACTGATGCGTACCTGGAGTTGGCATTGTCCAGTCCAATTGGCTCAAACGTGTCAGCCAGCCCAGCTTGTAAATGTTTCACAGGTGACCGAGTTGCCGTGGTAGCATGTCAACCGAGTCATCAACTCACAGCGATGATGCAGAGCCGGCAAAAAAGGATGGCGGAGTATCTCGGGCTTTTGTGACTTAATGTCAGGGGTCATTGCGCATTGTTTCTTTTCCCGAGTTTGCTTTCCATCGGGGAATTGCTTGGCAAGTTGCTGGCTGCTTTGCTAGGTCAGCCCATCCGTGGCTTGAGCCTTGTGGGGTTTGTGCTTTCCAAAGGGACTGCGGCAATGCCAAAGCAGTTTGCCGCAAAGCAAGTCCGCTGAGGATCTTCCAATACATATGCCAGTCCTCGCTTTTCGTGGCCGGTGCATATATCAGAACTGGTTGGGCTTTGATGTCAACCGGGTGTGAGAGATTGAGAATGCCGATTTCAGCATTTCAATGCTTTTGCGGCCACATGCAATTCCACATTTGCCAAACTGCTTGCATAGATCTGGAAAGCATTCCTGCTTCCGAAGCCGTCTCAGACATTTTCATTGCTACATGGCTCTTCCTGAGTACAGGTAGGAAGCCACCTTGCTTGGCAAGAAGGTTTCATTCCAACGCAGAGTATTCTTCAGGCGTTCGCTTGCCTTGCACCACTCCTCTCGCCTCTGCAGTTCGGGCGTGAGGCGCGGGGAAGCCGAAAGCTCGATCACAGCCTTCGTTTTGACGCTCAGGCGCTGTCATGGGCTGCTCTGGCGCCAAACCGCAGCAAGGCGCGATGGTCAAGGGGAACTGTGATGAATGGTTTGCCTCTTTAGGTGCTCCAGCAGAAAGCCACCCTCTAAACTGCTGCTCGCATGGACATTGGCTCTGACATTCGCTTGCCAGCATTTGGGAGAGACACAAGAGGTGCGCCACTTGACAGAGGTGAGGCTTGATGCTTTGACACACCGTTGCTTCACTTTGGAACCCAGGCCATGTTCAAGGTTACAAGGTACATACGATGCGCGTGTGCATCTCTTATGGAGATACAGTGTCAGAGAAATGAGGTAAAGGGCGAACGTCTACAAGGAATCGCCCGATTTTGACTGGACACAAGTTTGCACACTGCTCTGATCCAATGTTTGGGGATCCTCCTTACTGCTAGGGGTTGTTTGTCTTTAAGGCGATTGTGCTTTAAGGCGATTGTGCTTTCCAGGCTGATGCGGACAAATTGTGATGCAAGGGAGTGGTGCACATCTTTGAACATGTGGGCATATAGAGTGGGCTTCGGCTGGTAAGCCAGACACGAGGTGATCAGAAAGTGCGTGCAAAGCAAACAACTCAATCTGTTTCTACTGAGCATGATTTGGGGGTGTCTTTTCTTGAGGGTGCCCCCTTTTCGTTTTTTCTGAAGCCAAACCAAAAGGGACACCCACCTATGGGGGGGTACTTCGAGAGAAGAGACACCCCCATTATGGAGCCAGACCTGAATCCACTTCCGCGCGGGCCTGTGGGTCGTTTTTGCCTCAAAAGGGACGCCACCCACGTGATGGCCCTCGGCGCCACATTTTTTTGGGGCTGAGGCCAGCCTGGGCTCAACGTGCAGGACGCGCAGTCCGTGCGAAGCACTATCGAGGCAGCTTCCAAGTCCCGAAGTTTCGGCAGTTGGGCGGCTGATCAATAGCTCCATTTTGGGGCCAAGTTTTCAGGCCTCTAGGCAGCAAAAATAGACCCAAACCGGACCTGCCCACGGACTATACCCAGATCAAGAATTCCATTTGGGGCCCCCAGTTTTGACCATGGGTAACTCTACCCATGTGGTTGCATATATCATCTTGTGAGCGGTTTTCCCGCTGGCGATCCTATGGACATGACCTTTCGATCAATCCCCAGTTTGGAAGAGACCGACTCTCGTTTTTCTCTGGAATTCTTCTCAGACTTAAACCCGCCTCCAGGGTTTTCGGGTTTTCGGGTGGTTTCCTGTAGCCATCCACAAAGTTCCCGACGAGATGCACCTGTGGCTTGAAGGGATCACTCGGATCCCCAAGGCTGAGGACAACTTCAACTCACGGAGCTCGTCTCATGCGAGAGTATGGGTTCTTTGGCTCCTTTTTGACCAATACAACGGTTCCACGCGGATGGCCTCGACATGGTCGAATGGAAAAGGGTTGCCAGCTCTTAGGCCAAGTTCTCCAAATGTACTTGACCGGAGATGTTCTCATAGTTTAGCGTTCAACTACCGATCAGTGTTTGTGAACGGAGTGTAAGGCACACTCAGCTTGTCGCAATTCCTGGTTGCAACTCTGTAGACCGCAGTTGATGCAGTCCGCCTCATTTTTGCCGTGCTTGATCATCCTCTTGAGGCGAAGATCGTCCTCTTAGGCGACTCCGGCGTGGTCCCGCCGGCCGCGCTTGAGAACGCCAAAGCGCCAAGCGTTGATTGCGTCGGGATCCGGTTTCTCAAGACTCGAGCACAGGACTGGGAAGACGAGCTGCATGTCCGTAGAGTTTCCAGTGCGCCTTTCTCTGGACAGGCTTTTTTTTCTTCTCCGCCTTCAAAATGGACAGTTCCACTGCGCCCTGTTTTTTGTTTTTGTTTTTTTCTCTCTCCCGCTGCAAACGCATCCATGCACTTCTCAAGGGCATTTTCAGGTATGGGGTTTCGGGTATGGATTCTGTACCACAAATACAAGCCTGCAAGCCCCCAAGTGGCAAATAGTTCTACGCCTCCAAAACTTGTACCTGCGGCAACCTCGCAGACACACGCGTTGCCGCCAGGGCAAGTCCTCGCTTGCGCTGCGCTTCTGCCAGGGCCGCTTCAATCCTTACCATGAGGCCCCCGCCCCCCTCCCCGCCTAGCTTTTGAAGGCAAGTTTGGGGTGCTCCCACTGTGGGAACTGCAGAGAATGGGGTCGGTTCTACTTGGAACGTTAAGGTATTTTGCAACACGATGTGATTGAAACCAGGGTGCCACAAAATGGCACACCAATATCTGCGGATTCTGAGCATGTTGCGCACAGCCAGTCATCTCTAGTGGTTCCGGTGGCCACTCTGGGCAGTGTCCGGAGAACAAAGTAACTGGCCAACGGTTGATGGGTGTCCCGTGAGAACAAGAAAAAAAGAAAAAGGAAAAACCAGGTCGCATTGTATCCGGGTTACAGTCAAGGTGCCTACAGTGGCTCACGGGTCCCCGTGGCTTCACGGCGCACGACAGCCGGCCGCGGACCGCGCAGGTCACGATCGGCGCAGCCTTCCTGCAGCAGATCGTGCGCTTGCGTGTTGGGCCGAGGGGGGAGTGGGGAGCGGCGAGTTTTGCCCGGAGACCCGAAATCCGAACCGGGAGCCTTCCGCGTGGCGTATGGGCACTTGATGAGATGGACTTGAGTGCCGCTTTTCGTCGCAGATTGTGCATGTGTCTTGTGAGTCTTTTGATCAGTTGGGTCGCATAGGCTTGGCATTCAAGGTTTGCGCCCAAGGTGATGGTAGCCAGCTCAAGCTTCACGTCTGGGACACGGGCGGACAGGACCCTTTGTGCCAGCGCCTGGGTAAGACGGTAAGACAAGGTACGTGCTGGGCGGTGTGTCGATGTGCCTGTCCGGATGCATGGCACTCAATCTTGGTAAGTTGAGATGGTCAGGGTAGCCGTCTTTCCTCAAAGCTCTGTTTTGTGGTTGGCATTTCCGCTGAATTTGTCTCTTGACTTGAGGACATGTGGAACTTTTCAGGTGGCAGACCTGCGGGGGTTCACAGCAACACGTTTTCCCCAGAGCGACAGCTCTCGGCGGCCAGTCGGGGCTGATGCTCCTCAAGGCTTAATTTTTGTCGATGGGATGACGCTCTTCCAAAGCCCGACATGGCTTTGTCCCAAAATGAGGTTGCAGCCCAACAAAAGTCAAAAATCTGTCAGGCCCTCTGAATTTTCCTTTGCACCAACCAACCTTTTCTGGCTGTTGGGGCCCCTACCCCAAACCGAAAAACGGCGGCGCCTTCGGAGGAGCGGTTCCGCGCCATGACCCACTTGTACTACCGCGACGCCGCGGGGGCCGCGCCTTGGATCCATCCGAGCGGGGTTGCCCCGGGCGGGGCCGGGGGCAAGGGACCCGAGAGACCCCAGGCGAAGCATAGGAATGGTTTACCCCTCGAATCAGCTAAACCTCTGGTTTCAGAGTGGCCCAGAAGGGACCTTCCATTCTGAAAGCCAGGAAAAAAGACCGTGCTGGTCTTTCTTTTTGTTTGGGGCGTCTTTATCTTTCTTTTTTGTTTGGTGGGCGGGGGGGGGGGGGGTTTGGCGTTTCTCAAGAAAGGGAACCAGGATGACTAGGGGGGCTCTCAAGACGGGGAAGCGACGGATGAGTTAAACCGCTCCGTTGGTTTCTCGTTGGGTTTCATGTATTATTATTTTTGGGAGGATTTACGGGGAAAGGAGCCGCGCCAAATCAATCCTCTTTGAGAAAGACCATTTCGCCAGTGTTTCCAGGCAACGTTGTGACACGTGTTTTCGGAAGCAAGTAAAACTCCAAATGTGTATGTCTTGTTTTGAAGGTACCATTTTTTTGAAAACTAAAAGGACAACCACCAACCACGGGCGTTCCCCTAAATAAAAACGTGCCACCCAAATTTGAACCTGACGTCTAAACTGGTAGCCACGGTCATGAACACGTCCTTGTAGCATTTTCTGCCTCGTGCTAGAGCCAAGCAATTGTTTTCGACTCACTACGGTTCATTGTTTGCAGAAACAATTTGACATATTGCAAAGTGTCAGGAGCAACTCGGATTCTTTGATGGGAGGTGATCATCGTTTCTTTGGACAGAGGAGTCATCTTTACGATCTCGGCCGCAACCCACTGGTCGATAGGTAATCGTCTACGACTGCACGGATGCCCACTCGCAGGCGGGATGCGTGTGAATGGCATGCTGGCCGTGCGCCTGCAAGTCAAGCTTTGCACTGGCGAGGTGGGGCATGTGCAGTCTGATTGGCTGCACGGTTGATGGCAACAAACAATATCTCCACAGCAAGGTGTCGATCAATGAAAGGCGCTTGAAAAAACTGGACAGCACTGGAATTCTGAATTCGAGATGTCTTCCAAAAGCCGGTCGCTTTGCACATTTTCCAGTGACCGTTCCGATGTGTGGAGAGGTGCTCAAACTTAGGCTGGACTTAAATGCGTGGGCATCAAAAGGGGGCCTGATGGTCCGATTTTCCATTACTGTAGGGTATGTGTCAAAATAGGGGCGCGGGGCCTCAAACTTGGTGGTTTGAGTTACCCATGTTGCCACCCGCAACATGGGTACCCTCAAGGATGTACACACCCATTAGGAAGCGGAAAAATGGGGCGGGGGGGGATGGGGAGCTTTGGCCGCCAGGCCTCTGTGGACTATTGGGTCCAGGAGCTTCAAAACAAGGCCGGCCTGCCAGAATTGCCCTTACTGGCGGGAGGGCCTTGTCGGGGTCTGGAAGTGCTGTTTGTCAAAGTTGGGGAATTCTCCAGGTAGGTGGTTCCTTCTGAAGCCATCCAGAAGGCTTGAGCTGAAACGGAGTTTTGTGGTGCCCGTCTTGGTGGGGCGGGGGCGGCGGGGGGAGGGGGGGCGCAGTTTTTTCCCCTAGGTTTGGGGGCCAGGTTCTGGCCGGGTTCTGGCAGGGTTCTCTTGAGGCCTCCGGCTGCCAACGTTGGGCCTGGTTTGGTACCAGAGCTTAGCGCCAGAGCTTAGCAGGTGACCTAACAGGATTGAAGTCATCAAGGTTTCCCTTTCCGGTCTCTCCTTTTTCAAAAAAGTGGCGATGGTTTCAAGACCGGCAGTAAATTGATCAACTTACCGAAAGTAGAACCAGAGCTTTGGGGATCGAAATCCCGATTCTGAGACATACGCAGATAGCTCCAACCACACAACATATTGCAAGATCCTGTTGCAACAAGTGCAGAAGCCCCTGTTTCAACAAGTGCATGTGGCGTTTTGGGGTGGCTGCTGCTGCCTCTCATTCCGCACCCGAGAAACACCCGATCCGACTGCCAGCTTCCTTTCACCCGACTGGAAGACTCGAAACCCTTCGGCTGACCCGGCCCGCCCCGATTTTTTTGCAGCCCAAAAGACGCCCACGGCGCCAACGACGCATATTCCGGGCTCCCATCAGCTCCAGCTCGTCGATTTTCTTTCGGCGGGAGAGGGCAAACTTTCCTCGAGATGCCAACGATGGAAAAAAAATCTCTCGTGGACTCGGCCCTTGAAAGGCTCGAGAGGCGGCGTTTTTTTTCTTCTTTTTTTTCTCGCCTGGTTCTCCGGTGACTGGTGCGCTATAAGCCGATGACTGGTGCTGTGGAGTGGAATAAACAGTATTGCCAACATGTGGCGTTTTGCTTGTTTGAAATGGCTTTGGTAAATTGCCAAAGGCTTGTTGACAACAGTATTGCCAAAGTCTGATGGTTGGGGGGTTCCGGCGAGATTCTCCAAGCAACTCTTCAAGAGCTTGGACTGGAGCAGCCCGGACGAAATTTGCCAGGGCCCCGCGCGGTGTTGCATGGCGGTGGCCGCCAACAAGCTCCTGCCCTAGCTGCTCACAGACTGAGCACGGCTGAATCTGTTTGTGAAGTCAGGCGCTCCAAGGTATGGTAATTCTTCTGTTGAGAGACAAAAATGATTCGATTCCCAAAGCAAGCTCCAGCCTTTGGCAATACTGTCAATAATGATGATTCCCCTGTAAATACCAACAAACGTTATGGTTTCAACCAGGGTTCAAAGTGGTGTGAACGGATTTCGTCCATCCACAGTAGGTGTTCTGGCAATGGGGCTCTGGCTCGGAGCCCGTTCCGGGCACGTCCTTTGGCCTTCGGTTTGCCCAAGGAGCGATGTTGAACCGAAGGCCGTGGACCCAGCGAGGATGAAGGCGCGAGACCCGCTGAGTCGGTGTCGAGTTGGGGACCCACTTTCAAGGGAAACGGAAGAGAGAGAGAGAGAGAGAGCATTCATTTAATCTTTGGTGCATTTCGCTTGGATGTTAGGACTTTAACTTTTTGCCAACTAATGGGTTTGCCACTAAACCACTAAACGTTATTCACTGTTAGCAGGGGAGCAGAAAGCAACCAAGATTTCGGGGACCAAGCAAGCTGAAGTCCCGAAGGCCATGTGCGAGGAGAAAGGCCTGCTCTTCGTTTGGGCCTCAGGATCGCCACATGATGTGGCTTTTTGTGGTACCCCTTTTGGGGGGAAAAGAGAAGAGGGTCCCCCTATTTTGAGACCGATGCTCATGCGCATCTTCCGTCGAGATGTGCGGAGGTTTGCCTTGTTTCTGCAGTTGGTCTTGTCAGATGTGGACTTTTCGAGGATGTTTCAAAATGGCATCTTGGTACCAAAGACCAAGACCTGCGTAACCCTAGCTCCTCTTTTTTGAGCCACACCCGGGTGGACTTTTCGAGGTCTAGATCCGGGGATCGGGGGATTTTCTTGCCATGTCGATCAGTGGCCGAGGTGGAGACCTCTGCGAAGACGGGTGAGAACGTGAAGACCCCATGCTTTGCCGCGCGTTTCCCCGTTTTTTTTTTTTTGCGAGCGGGTCACCACGGGGAGGTGAATAACCGGATTTGGGCTGCTTGGGGTGCGAGTGCCAGGGCTGCTGACAGCTCCCAGCCGGTTTGGCTCAAGTCCCCAGCGTCTAGCATCGCTCTCTTCCATTGGACATCAGAGACCCCAGGCCGACGCATCGAGTGTCTCAGTCGCACTTTGTTTCCCCAACCATCAACGCCTTCCTGATAGATGTCTATAAACATATATATATATATATGTATAGCTACAAGCAATGCAGTGCAGACAGGTGAAGACTCAATGCCAACGGCAGACAGCAGAGGTTGCACCAAGAGTTTTAAACTTCGCATGCGAACGAAGCCCTCTGGCCGGACATGATGCAGGATGTCGGAAGCCCCAGGCTGCCTGAGGCCTTGTTTGGATGGGGATTAATGTTAACCCCGGAACAATAAACCCCTGATTGATTAATAGGGGGGTGTCCCCTTTTAGTCGGGTTTATTCATCCTGGGTCAACATCATGGTCCACCAACCACTTTTCAGGGGGTTGCCTATGAACACATATAGCCATATAACCAGTTTGGTGGAACCAACAGTCAATCAGTTTTGGGCGCTGCTCATTTGTGAGTCCAGGTTAATGCGTCAGTTTCATTGACGGAGCACCTAACAGTCGCTCTGTGCTGATTTCAACCAGTTTTCGCCACTCATGGCTGCCAGACAATTTCGCACCACTATCTTTTTGGGGAAGCCTCTTTTTTTTTGTCGGGGAGGGAAGGCCCCTCCCAACTTGACTGTCAAGGGACACGCATTTTGATGATGCCTTCGGCTTCCGAAGCAGCGCCCGAAGGCGGTTGTGAGCACTTGAGGCATCGTTGGCCAAACGGTTTTTTGGCTTTTGACTGGGCCCCGTCCTTTTTCAACCACCCTTTTTGAGGTTGCTTCAAGGGCCATCAACAGGACCCATGCATTCTGGAAAGAACCCTATTGTAGGGCACGCGTCATTTCAATTCGGCCCAACTTTGCCGCTGCTCAACATCGTGGCCCCAAAACATGGCAACGGCCTCCTCGTCGTTGTTTTTTCCCCTGTAAAGTCAGCAACCTGAAGCCGGGCTTTTCCCGTAGGTGTCCTTTTTGGTTGATTTGGTTTAACAATAGAGGGCCCTGGTTTACCTGGTGGTTTAATCAACTACCAGGGAAGCCCATCTATTTTCCCAAAAAGGAAAATCCATATGTCAGACGCTCCAAACGCCTCCCCTGCCCCGCCTCCGAGGCCAAGGAGTCGCTGCGGGCCACGTTCCGCGCGGCGGAGGAGCTCATCGAGAAGAAGAAGGTCCAGGCGGGCGGTTTTTGATTTTTGATGTCCCCTGGAATTTCAAGAGGGGTCGCTTTTGCTTTTTGGGTTGGGTTACCCAATTTGAGGATGTGTGTGTCGCTTCTTTTTTGGTCGTTCTTTTTTCCCCCCCCCGGTTGGAAGCCTTTGGTGGGTTGTTTGAAAGGCGCAGCGAAAGGGATGTTTTCACAAAGGAGCGGGGTGCCCGATATTGAGACATGCCCAGATCTTGCCCTTTGGATGGTTTAGACATCACCGTTTGGGGCCGTCACCACGCCAAATTTGCCACCGCTGCCGTAGTGGCTGGCCCGCAAAATGCGAGCAGTGCCCGAATCCCCTACCTGGCTTCATGGGGTGTATCATGGGGCCTATGACCTTTATACTTGGTGGCTCCCAGCCATCCCCTTAGCTTTTTAGCCTTTTAGTGTTTAGTGGTAGTTTCCATTTAAGCCACTAAAAGGTTAGTCACTTGTAGCAGGGGATCTGAGGGCAGCCCAGAAGAGTCATGTTGGCGGAATCAAAAGTCAATATGTTTTTTTTGCGCTGCTCATGCAGCTGCCCTTGCCTGATGCAAGAGCTGTGTCCAGAGGAAGTTGCTCGTGATGCTTTTTGACGAGGCATCCAGTTTGGATCCGATGTTGTGACATACTGTGGATGGTTGCTAAATCCATTTCGCACCACTTTCTTTGAAACATGGGAAACCTTTTTTTGTTGGTATTTACAAGGGAATCATCATTCCAGTGTTTCTTAGGTGGTGCAGGATTTAGTCCATCCACAGTAGGTTCGGCCAAAGGCAGTCCTAAGTGCACCAGAGTGTGCACGAAGTGTCTCATGTCCTCATGGGGCAACAAGCAATTTTGACTGCGGTGGATATGGCTATGAATTTTAATGAGGAAACCACACATAAATGGAGGGGGGGTTGGGGGCCCCCTGCAGGTGGTTGGTTCCCATTTTGGTTTCTCTCTAAAACCATACCAGAACTGCTATTTGCAGAAACAAGTATGTGGGTATGTCACATGAGTGTTTCTCAAGATAGGATTGGGTCCCCTCAAACGTCAACAGTTTCCTTTTCGTCTCCCTTTGAATACCAACCAAGAGGGGTCCACCATTTTGAACACCCTCCTAGTGTAAAATGTCAGTGGGCACCCTCCGGACCAAAGCGCTGCCCTATTGATTAGGATTGGAGCGGTGGAACCAAGTTGGTGGTCAAATCCAGAAATCTGTGGTTAAACGGACGAGACAGGTTCCCGCGACGGTGCCTCAGGTGGCTCTGGCGCAGGAGGAGACCGAGCGGGAGCGGCTCCAGCTGGAGCTGGAGCCCCTTGCTCCGATGCTTTCGTCGGGCTTTTGCGGGGCAAAAAAGAATTGGGCCGGAGACATAGGCGTCCTTTTCAGCTTACTTTTTTTTTTTTTGAGACATAGATGGTTTAGATGGTTTAGATGGTTTGGATGGGCCGGAGAGGCGACCCCCGTTGAAAAGGTGCGGGTGTGAGAAGGGAAGCGAAAGGAAGAAAGGGTGTAACATGGGCCTTTCATTCGAGGGAAACCGGTTACTTTGATTAGAAATAGATGGGTTCTGCTTTAGATGGGTTTGATTCCATCTACCAGGGAAACCCATCTACTTTTGCAAAAGGTCACCTATGGCACGAAAGGCGACCTGTTGGCGTGGAAAGGCGCGGGTTGGATAAGGGAAACCAAGGGAGCAAAAAGGGTGTCAATTGGCGCTCTGAAGTTTCAATCCACACAAATTCCCGCGTGGAGAATTCGGGATGGGAATGCCAGTCTTTGCTATCTGAGAAGGGTTATATACTTTGGATTGTTGTTTTTGGACTTGCCACACCCGCCTATCATGTGTGCATTGAAATCAAGTCATATCTGATTTGTTGTCTGACATTGTGTAAACATCGGTGCGTCGGTGAGTGGCGCCCCCAACGAGTTGATGTTTTTGGAAGCCTTTGTTGCAGCGCGTTTCTCCATGCTACCGTTCTTTCCAGGCCTATCCTTTGGGAAATCTGTCCCAAACAGCTTTTGAAGTCGCAGCTGTCTTGGTGGGAGAAGTCCAATGCACTCAGTGAAACGAGGCGCTCGCCTATGTGGGCGTGCCATTTGTTTGGAGGCTCGGTACCCTTTTTTTGGGGGTTAGATGGAAACCAAAAGGAACAACTCATCTTGGTAAATTTGAGACAAGCCTTTATGCTCAAGCTTGCGCATATTCACATGGGCTATGGACCTTGATAAGGATTCCGCAGTACAGCAATGACCTTGACTCGACTTTGGAGTTTTGGCGCCACTTTTCAGACCGAAGTGGGGGTGGTCACGTTGCAATAGATGGTCTTGCACCGGGTCTCAACTTTCGTCCACAGAGGAAGCCGATAATCATTCAGGAGTTTACCATCCTCTTGACAGTGATGTCACGTCGGCAAGCCGCGAACGGTTCTTGAGCCATACTACCAACGACAACAACCAGCACTACTACGACGGAACTATGCAACGTTTCCAAACAGCGAACAAAGGTAATTGCCTCAGTTCGCCAGGCTCTTCTGATTGGATGTTGTTCGTTCACCTGCGATTATTTTAGGGACTCCACCATTCCTCAGTGTTTGTTTTTTCAGGGGTCCCCAACTTCCCCCTTCAACCCACTTTCAGCCCCCTTGAAAAAGCCTCTCCACTTCCATACTTCCACGACTGGAAAGAGAGTAGTGCTGTGTTTTTGACTCCAAGAAGCATGCGAACCAGGCAATTTGACAGCAAGTTTGCCAGAACGAAACTCGTGTTGAAACGGGAGAATTTGCCAAAACAACACCGAGGCTGGGGATTAACATCCGCCATCTTTTTTGACGGTTCCAACCATGAAGGTAAACGCATGCGGTATCCTCAACAGCTCCCAGAAACCTAGCGAGCCACTGCGACCCACTCCGGGGCTCTGGGCAGAAACCCATAGCTTCAGCTGTTGGGGCAAAGCACTTGATGGTGCTCAGAACCCCCAAAACCATTCCTTCTGGTTTCCTTTCAGAGCCCAAGCGGTTCGTTCCTAACACTCGGACTCGTTGTCATTCCCTGCCTGTCTCACAAAGAGACGTATCCACAACTGCCATGACTCGTATACACCATCCAACTGGTGGTTTCCTTTAAGGAGACCCCAAACGGTTCATTTCCTACTGAGCAAGAACAAGTGGCTGTGGGTCAAAAATAGGCACCCAAATTGAGGTCTCTCAGTGAATTGAACCAATGACTCAAACTGCGGTCCATATCCTGGTGGCTTAATTTTGACCCATGCCCAAATCGGTTAGCCCCCAGTGAACCTCCCCCAATCCCCACCAAAACAGGAAGCCTAACACGGGCGGCGAATTCCCCAATCCCAGCCAAAATGGGATCCCGTTCAACGGTTTGGACCACAGCCCGTGTCGCGCAGGTGGAGCCGCATCAAGTGGCAGCAGGAGGCCCTCGGCGCGGAGCGCCGCGCCTTGCAGCGGCTCAGGGCGCAGCTGGAGGCCCAGGAAGCGGAGGCCCCGGGGCCCTTGGCCCGGGGTGGGCGGAGGTGCGCGCTTGCGGACCTCCGTCCAAATGGGGGATGTGGACGCCAACATTTTGTCAACATGTAGTTAAGTTGTGTCAACTAAACAACTTATATATGGTGTCAACATATAGACACTTGTTAAAATGGGGTTTGGACCCCCGTTTTGCTTGGCGTTTTTTTCTCCTTTGCCTCAAAGCCCTCCAAGTCAATGATGCACAGGTTGTGCGTTGTGGTTTCTCAGTAACAAATCGGGTTAACTGGGGTCCTTGGCTGAATCTGCGACTGGAAGGTTGACTTGGGTGTGTCTGTAAGGTTGGACTTTCCGAGCCTGGGATCTTTTTTCGTTGCAGGGGATCATGTCCACTTCCATGCTGTTGGACACTGGAAACTGACTGTCAGGGTTAGTTGCAGCCATTGTTTGTGGATTCCCATGCAGCAAGGGATTGTTGTGATGGCCGCTGGTTGACGCGTTCAAAGTCTGGGTAGCTTTGCGCAAGCTTCTTGAGGACATGTAGTTCACCATGTAGTTCAGAAAAAATCCTGCCTTTCAGCTCATTGGTGCATTGATATGTTGCAAGGGCCCAAATTTGAGGTGAGCTTCGCTTACAGAGCAGGGATTCACAGCTGGTTGCTGAGTCACGCTGGCCGTAGCGCGGTGCGAGAGATTCCCATTCGCAGTTTGTTTCGTGTGCTCTTCATGATTGGCCAAAGGGAAGCCCCTCTTCAATGTCATGAGCAACTTGAATTCTGCATATATATATATAATATACATATATATATATACACACTGTGACGTGATTGTGGCAGGTTCTGGGATGCAGCAAACCAATATTCACGCATGCTTGTGACACTCGCAGTAGATTGGGCTTGAGACGAGCACTGAAGATCACCGGCGATCAACTCAACATGAGAGGGGATTTACTACATCAGGAATGCCAATATCAATATTTACTGTCGCCGACGGCAAAAGAGACGACCTGGCCAACACACCGTTAGGACATGGGCTTGTGTTAGGCGCATGGCCATTGACCATGCGTCACATGGGTATGGGTCAAAACTAAACCACCAGGAATTGGACGGCAGGCTTTAGTCCATGTTTCTATATACCAGGGTTCCATTTTGGGGTTACCAGAATTTCTGACCCACAGCCACATGCCCAGTGCAGGCCCATCCAGTGGTCGAGGAGTACCAGACACAGGCCACCCTTTGCACCTGAAAAGCGACACGCTGAACGGAAGGCACGGGAGAATTAGAACTGGAGGGAAGAATTTTGAGGGGTTCTCAGAAAGACTTGGTGGGGTGGTCGGTTTCAATCAGCATTCAGGAATCCGTAGGTTTTGAGGATGTCACTTTGATGGACCCGGCAATGAAACGACGGGCAGACAAATAGCAATACGGCTGACCTATGAATGATCGGCCTCTGCTTCAGTTGGTTGTGGCTTCTCCTTCCTCCTGTTTGGCCCTTCGTTCTGGCTTTCGACATTGTGAATCGCAGTGGTTGCTGACCAAAATGCTCCTCTCACTGTTATATGGCTCTTCCCGTTTCACTTGATGTGTGTGCTTGACAGGCCTTCTAAGAGGCTGAGATCCAGTTTCAGATATAGCTCCATATATGCTGAGATGAGCAAGTGCAATGATTCGGCATCCAAGCCAACCTGACTTTTTTGAACCGATTTTGGTGCCAGGTGCGAGGCCGCCGAGGCCAGACCGTGGCAGGTGTAGCCCAAGGTCATCAGCTTGCTTAGACTCACAGGGGCATGAATTTTTAGTTAGGGACCCTTTGGTGGACATCATTTTAGGTGGGGTTGTATGTCCACGACCCACTTTCCAGGGGGGTTCCTCATTTACTTTCATGGCCACATCCACTCTTGGAAATGGTCCTCTCCGGGTGTCTGAAACGACAGGAGACCCTCCTGTTTCGGTGATAGCTCCAACTTTTAGCAAGCTGCTTGCCAGGAGCCAATCCTCTCATATGACAACCTGGCCAGACTTTGACCCCCTTCAAAAAGTTAAGTGTTTGGTCGAAAACAGTAACAGCAACATGTGAAGTGTTTTGGTTCAAAACCAAGGCCACCCCACATGGCAAAAAACAAAACAACACCAACAGCAAACCATGTTTTTTCAAAAGTCTGGCAGAGAAGGGCAGGCCCCTTCGTGAAGGCTGCGGAATCCAGATGATCCCGAGAGAGTTTGTGGGTCCACTTGTCAGAAGCCACCATCTGCAAGAGGCCCGTGATGTGTCTTAAAATCGCGGGGCCCGGTCCCGGCCCCCAAAAACGGCTGCATGTTTTTGTGGGGCTTCCCTTTAAAGACACAGGCCAAAAGCTTGGCGAGTGAGCCACCAATTTGGTGGAACTGGGGCCCACGAAATGGCCATGGCTTTGAGACCAACGCATTGCAGGGGCATTGCAGGGCCCTCCATTTTTTGGGGATCCATTTTTCGTGGGAAAACTTCTTCAGGCCCCCCAAGGGGGCAAGCGACTGGTTTTTGAGAAAGAATGGGGGACCCAACCCCTTGGCACCGTTAACGATGGAAGTTGGTGAAGTATCCACCTTGATGTCTACCAGAGGGTCCCAGGCAAAATTCACCCCCGCTTTCGCGGACCCAGCTCCACATCATTCGGGGACAACAACTCCCTCAGGCGCCTGCTTCTCGGAGGAGCCCAGCCAGGGGCCCCAGGTCCCCGGCAGTCTTGGGTTTGTCCAAGTTTACAAAGGACCAGCCAGAAGTTTGGCGCCTTTGGCAGAGCTTGCACATGTGACGAGCACATGCTCACACATAAGGTTTCTGGGGACTGAGCGGAGGTTTCCCCTGCGTCCGAACCAGTGCCAACCCCCGTCCCCGTCCCGAATGGAAACGTCTTACGTTTCCCTTGGGTTGCTCTGAGCCAAAGGGAAAGCAGCCATCGCGGGGCTTCCCCGGAACGGCAAGCCCCAGTCCTGGCCAAGTTTGAAGCTCGAGCCGAGGTGGGGTCTGGGGCTTTCTGGCTGCGGCAGCCACAGGCCTTTGCGTGTTCTCTGCCGCGTGGCCGACAGGTTGGACGGCTGAAGCCACCCTGAAAGGAATCCATTCGCTATTTTTAGAGGCTGTGCTTGTGCAGGTTCAGAATGAAATGAAAGGACACCCGTTGGCAGGAAAGATCCTTCCTTTAACCGTGCGATGAGGCTTGAGACACTCCAACGACTAGGAGTCCTAACGTATAGTTGGTTTCCTCAATGATATCGTGGCGCGAGACGTGATGTCACAAGAGAATCTCCAGAAACAGGTCATCGGTCAATTGGCAGTCTCTTGACAAGACAGCTGTGGTTTCTCCAACTGTTTGGAGCATTTGGAGGCTGAACTCGGAGCGCTTCCTGAGTTGCTCAACTCATTGCATGTTGACCTGCAATGCTTGAGGCGTGAGGCTTTTGCGGACTACACAGTAGGCGTTGAAGACTTTAGGGCAGCACAACCGTGGCTTTCTCCATGTTTCTCAAAGAAGCGCTGTGAAACTTCAGTTGAGCGGCGGTTTTTTTACCCGGAAGCTAATTTAGTGGGGAGAGGGACATTATTATTGAAAATGTGCGCCACGCCACACGCGCGGAAGCATGCGGAAGGCTCGCGGAAGAGATTTGTTCGCGGAAGGTTTGCGGAAGCTTGGTGGCTGATATACAACTAAGTGTTTCAGTGCGTGCATGGAAAAGCTCGGAGAAACAATTCCAGTAGAAGAAAAGGTGTTGCTGCGTACAAGAAACGTAACGCTTACTGGAAGAGCAGATGCCAACAGCAGCCAAGAAGGCCAAAACAGCCGGCGCACTTCGCGGAAGGTTTGCGGAAGCTTCGCGGAAGCTTCGCGGAAGCTCCGCGGAAGGGTGGCCCCGTGTTTGCAGGCAAGCGGCCAAGTAGCATGGGTAGCCCAATGGAGCCCAAGCCTACACAAGCTGCGGCGGAACACTACCTCACTTAAAATGACTTTCCTTTCTGCGCCAATGCTCGCGGAAGCGAAACTTGTAAACCATGCCCCGCGGAAGGTTTGCGGAAGCAAACAATGAAACACATGTGCCGCGGAAGTTCGCGGAAGGGACCTCTTGGCCCGCGGCAAGGATGCGGAAGGGCCCGCGGAAGCTTGAATAATGTCCAAGCAAGTTTGTAGGGAATAAAAACCAACGCTCAGTTGAGGCTCGGAATCAGCTTGCCCAAATCTGGCACTCACATTGTCGCTGGGTCAAGGAAGTGGAGTGAATGCACAACTCTGTGACATCTGAAGGTGGGACCTATCGAAAGCAACTGGCGTTTTGGTTTGCACAGCCCCCCCCCCCCCGCCCACATGGAAACAAGCCAGCCAGAGGCCACGGGACGCCCTCCGCTACGAGCCATACCCTTCGTAGGTACAGCCCGCAGCGAGCGGGCACGAAACACGAAACAAGCGGCAGCCAAATATGAGCAAAGCCCCCAAAACCCTATTGGCCATACAAGTATAGTATACATATATATATATATATACATATGTACACACGCATATATATATATATATATAGTTCTACCTGATGTCCTGCGAGTTAGGAACGCCTACGCAAGCCTTTGTAACTACGTCCTAACCCGCGGTCAGCGGGCTGGGCAGTCAAATGACGATTGCCGCACGCCATGGAGTTGTGAGATCGCATGGCGTACAGGCGCGGATGCAGAGGGGTGATACGGATTTCAAAACGGAAACGGCGGCGACCGCCCGAAAGTGGCACTCCAAGAGGTTGCAATGGCTTCCCAACTTCCCCATAGAGGGCTTCCGGTGCCCATCTGGGGAGTTGTTTTTGGGAGCTTCGGGACCGGGCAGAAAGGTTCTTGAACACTTCGGCGGGAGGGTTCCAATTTGAGACGATAATGTGGGTGTGTCCTTTTGGAGGGACCCTTCCAAAGAAGTGGCTTCCCTTTGGCTTTCTTTTGAACCTATCCCCAAAAGGGTACCCGACCCGTTGACAAGCTGATCACCCCTCGAGTCCCGGAGTTGTCTTTCTTCTTTTTCTGTTTTTTCTTGTCTCGAAAGCCAAAAGAGCCGAGGGCCCACATCCCCAGCCCAGATCTGAAGGTCGGAGAAGCTCACAAGATCCCTCCCTCCCCCAAAAAAAAGAAGAACAGAGAACATGGATTTTTCGGCCTTCCTTTGGGCCTCCCTCAACACATAAAACTCAACAAACCATTTTGGAATGTCACCTTACAAAAACACGCGGAACAAAACAACTGGTGCAGCAAGACAGGCGGAACATGATGCACTTGTGCTAGCTTCTAGCCACAAATCGCTGAGCATCAGCAACCGCAATGAACACCTCACTTTTTTGGAACGCAAACTCAAATGTTTTTTTCCTTTTGTTTTTTTCTTGGAAAGCAGCCTTACAAAACCCAACAAGCGGAGAACCACCTCTGTCCCTCAGGGCCTGCTGCGCCTTTGGCGCCGGCCTCGCGCTGGGCCTGGGCCTGGCGCTGGCGTGGCCGCGCGCTTTCGGCGGCTCCGGCGGCTACACGGAGCCCAGCGGCGTGGGGGCGGACCTCGTCTTTGAGGCGCGGAGCGAGAGGAACCTCGGGTCCTGGACCTCCGGGTTGCGAGCTTTTCCCTTTTTGCGCAAGTCGTTTTATCTTCTTTTTTTTGGGGGGGAGGGGGGGGGTGAAGGCAAGCGCAAAAGCAGAGGCGCCCCCTTCTTTTTTTTGCCCATGGCCATTGGGGATCTGATGCCAGCGCAAGCGTGGGTCTGGAAATGAGGAACCGAAACCTGCAACACGTTTTTGTTTGTTTGGTGCTTTTTTGGCTGTAAAGCAGGTAACGTCGAAGGTCCAGTTGCAGGTCAAATCCTGGCTGAGTAGGAAGGGCAGCCTCTCATTGGGAGTGCTAGCAGCAGAATGGTCGGTTGATACATCCTTTCAGGAATGATCATCCTCCAAATGTCAGCTTCCATGAGTGGAAACATGGCTGTATGAGATTGCCTTTGGATTTGCTACCTCAGTGTACCGACTTGCATATTAAACCGTTGCATGGCTCGTTCTCTCGATATCTCCTAATGGGCCTGGGCCCTCGACGTCCGCCCGAAAATGGCAGATTCGAATCTCCGTTAGCGCATGAAGCTTTGCTTGGTTCCACCTGTATTCAGTCGTCAGGCCGGTTCCGTTCAATGGGAGAAGTTGCGAGGAATGGTCTAAAGTTTGCTGGGCATTTGCATGGGGATTTGTGTCCACCACCCATGTTTGACAATATTTCAACCGCTCAAGCTGCTGGTGGGGGGAAATCCCCGGTTCCTCCCCACGGATCCTTCTTAGAATCTTCACTGTTCTTGGCATGTTTTTTTGTTCTTTCGTTTTTGGTTCATTTTTACTGGGGGGCTGCAAGGAACAGAGTTTTTGCTACCATGCCAAGAGTTGTAAAGTTTTGTCTGAACACCACTTGAACACCGCTGGGGATCAGCTGGTTTTTGAAAACAATCATGAATGAGCAAAAGACGTGTTGAATTAAGCCCTAGCCATATGCGGTTTGGTGAAAGTTGGGGGAACTCACCCACGAAGTCCATCTAAACAGTAGCAAAACTTGGAGGAATAAAATCGAACAATTGCTTGAGCATTGGGAATCACACTAACGATTTGGGGGACCAACCCTGCTAATCTGGGTCATTTTCACACCTATGAAATGGGTGGCTCGTTTTTTGAGGCGAAGGGTACCCTTTTTGAAATGGTTTTGAAGCCAACCGGCAGAAAACTCGACATTGTTTTCCCGAAAGCATTGCCAAGGGTTCTTCAGGAAAGACCTGGAGCGGATTGCACCAGCAAGTCTCACTAGCAAGTAGCAGTAGCAAGTAACACAAGCAAGTAGCACTAGCAAGTAGCACTAGCAAAATTTGCACCAGCACGTGGAGCTACAAGTTGCAGTAGCGAGTTGCACTAGGAAGTTGCATTGGCAAGTTGGAGCAGAGGTTGCTTTAGAAAGCTACAACAGCAAGTTACATAAGAGATTGGCACAGAGGTTTTCAGTGCCTTCTAATAGATACATATCTCTTTGCTAACAAACTATTCCTGCGGTACGCGCGCGCGACCCTCTGCGGGGATTGGCGTGGTCGATGTCAACAAATTGAGGACTTTTACGATTCTCGCGGTTCTTGCGGGCCTGCGGAGATTGGCATGGTCAATGCTAAAAAATAAGGACATTTTTGACTTGACCCTCCGCGGGATTGGTAACACGTTAGTTGTTGTTGTCGGAACGCGGGCTCGAAAGTTTGTCTTGTGATTTGCGCGCCTGCCTCTTGGAAGCGAGCGGCCCCAGGCTCGAATCCTGCTTGGTCTCTGCAGCTTCTTAGTCAGAACGCCAGTGCGCGAAGCGCACTTAGTTTCGCAGCTCCTGCTGGAAAAGCGCAACCTCTCAAGTGCGCAAGTAGTGCGCAAAGTCCACGTTCTCTTCTCGAAGTACGCGAAGTACACTTTCACAGATCGAGCAAGAAAATCCCAAGTTGAGCTACGAAAGTAGTTCACGAAGCGTACTTTCAGAAGGCTCCGGCTGACAGATCGCAACTTTGAATTATGAAAGTATTGCGCAACGTACACTTTCGCAGGTCCGGATCGACAATTGCTCATAAACACTTGTTGAGAGAAACTTGCTGAGAGAACTTGCGTGGAGAACTTGCTCAGAGGAACTCGCTCCAATAACTTGCGCAGAGGAACATGAACAGAAAACTTTGCCGGGAGAACTTGCCGCCGCTGCTGATGTTTTCGGGCCACCCATGTTCTAGTTTCTTTTCTTTTTTTGTGTGCCGGGGGGGGGGGGCTCCGGATTTCTATTTTGAGAATGCAAGCCTTCACCAGGTGGAGAAGGTCTTCAGCCTGCAGCGCCTGGCAGGAAATCGATGGGCTCGGCTCGTTGGGTTAGACATTGCGGTTCCCTGAGGCGGTACTCCTTGAGCTGACGGTTTTTACGGTGTCGGCACCCCCTCATGCGTGTCCCATTCCGGGGCCGATGTGGGCTCGAAGTGTTTCCCTGGCGATTTTTTTCGTT